ACTTTTAACCGACCTGTAAAGTCTCGCGATTCGCTTTGAAGAACGTATCATCGTACAATGCTTTATGACGTTTTCTTTTGAAAGGAACAAATGTATCAATTTCATTTATGTATGTCATGAAAATTATCCTGCAAAGAAAAGTCGACTTTTATTGTACCGTTGTCCAGAAAAAAAATAATAATAACAACAACAAAGTAACGCAACACAATCGATGTGTGTGCATTCAGCATCGAATCTCTTTCTTTGGCTGGAAAAACAGTCGTATATACCGCGCGTAGTCCCGCGGTCTGACTTAATAATGTCCGCAAAGGGCTGGGAGCGAGCTTTATATTGTTGAGCTTTCGCGCATAAACCGACAAAAAAGCAGCGGCATAACTCGCCGGGCTTTCTGTCACTCGAATGGCTTCCGCGAGCTCGCGCGCGCACGTGAGTACTTTTTTTACCGCGCTCTCCCAGTACTGGTCTTCTGTAGTCCTCTGCCTCTCTCTCTCTCTCTGTGGGCAACGAATAATTTCAGCCACGTACCGGAACCTCTGCTGGCTCGAGAGAGCCTCTTTTTTTTCCTCTATTTTTCTGCAATTCATAAATATTTCCAGTATACGCGCGGGCTCGAAAGCCTGAGCCGCGAAGAGGGATGTGCTGCTGTGCACTGTGCAAATTATTTGCGAGCTTGAGCCAAAAAATGCTAGAATTAGCGCGCACGCGCCCCGCTCGCCGCCGCCGTGCCCATTGCGAAAAGAGAAAAAGTGTATACGTAACGAGAGGATGGCCTGCAACGCGGGCGCTTCTATAGGGAGAAAATTAACGGAAGATGAAGGGAGAGAGAGAGAGAGAGAGCCAAAGCGAACCCTCTCCTCTTTTACACGCAGCGAGTAAATTATGCACTATATCACGACTGCGGTAAAATATGTTAATTCCTAATGGACATTTTGGGTTTTCATTCGACTCGTTGAAACGTTTAATATTTAATATACAAGCCGGCCAGAGCAGCGGAACGGGCAAGAAAGAAAAGTTCATTGTGCAACATTGACACATTGCCCGACATATATAGGGCGCATCTGCATGTCATATATGAATTAACTTTTGACAAACTCATCGGCGAATTTCATCGCACCATGTACAGATATAAATAACCAGCTATGGTCGTGTTAAAAGTGGCCGCGAGCTATACTCCATTTGCAGCTGGCATCCCCAAGCGGGGGCTGTATTATAAAAAAAATTAGAAAATTTATAACTGGTCGCGCGCTCGATTATGGCGCCTCGACAAAGAAATTCTATCGCGGCACATATCTTTCTTCCGAGAGAAAATCGTCTTGATAATTACTCACGAAATAAAGGGAAAGTCGGTGCGTGCCTCAGCTAGTATAAACACTGCGCGCGATATAAAAATTCAAATTTTTTAAGCAATTACCTTGGCTCGAAGTGCAGTGCTTATCGCCACGCCTGCAGAGAATATTATCTTCCTTCACAGCCGGCTAGACGGTGGCAATAATAATAATAACAATAATAATAATAATATAAGTACGAGCTCGTGAGATGCAATTCAACAATATACATGTAGCTGGTGTGCGCAAGACTAGCCGAGAAGTACGCGGCGGAGTTTGCAGGAAAAAACAAAAGAGTGAGACGAAGGAGGAGGAAGAGAGAGAGAGAACGACTTTTTCAAGCTCCATTTATCGGTAGGGAGCATCGAGCTTAAGCTTAAAGGTGCCCTGCTACTCTTTAAAGCCACGGAATATGCATTAGCTCCGCGAAGCGAAAATTTGTGAGATAAAGCGATGTTAAGTTGATTTACGTAAATGCATTTGGCGATTAGCTCTCGGAGTCGCGAGAGAAAGAGAAAAAAAAGGGCTGAGCGCGCCAAAGTCACTGATACCTCAGCTTCCCTATATACACCTCGCACGTTACGCGTTCTGTACTTGCATCGATAGACTCGTTCGCGCGTGTAAGTATATATTTTACATGCGACTGGAAAAAATGACAGGAGCGTTTAGGAAAAAATAAATCGTCCGATTTGCCAGTCATTTCGAATCGCGAATCCTCGCTATAGATTACAGTTTCTCGGCGGCGCTATAACGTCGCCCGCGCGCGATCGATCCACAAACGATACAGATCCGCCGATGTAAATGACAAGGATGATTCGGTCCGACAGCGGACATAAATATGCCAGTTTCACGCGCGCGCAACAAAGTAACATCATTTCTCCTCCTTAGGCGCGCGCGTGCTCCACATCGCCTTCGTTCGCACACGTGTAGCGAGAAGCTGTAAGGAAAAAATTCGCGATGACGCTGCTGAATTTCGCGCGCATCGCAAAATTTCTTCTCACGAGTTCTTCATAGGAGAGAGAGAGAGAGAAAAAAAGAAGAAGAAGCCGGCAATAGTTTTCGTTGACGTCAAAAGTAGTGGCCTTTGGGTTTTCCAATAATACCCGGAGAACACGCACATGTCGAATAAGCGCGGCGCATCGCGTCTATTTTATTTATCCTCCTGCATCGTAAGCGCACAAAGAATCGTGCCCGTGTAAACGAAGCCAATGTAGAGCAAATGCGAGCTGGATATTACATACAGAAGATATATGCGTTATATAGAGGATAGCCAATGCATACGCACTTTTCCAAGCCATTGAATATTAAAAAAAAGGACGTATAATAGACGTGCGATTCGAATGTAGGCCACATTGAAATGGCTATAATGTACGTAGTTTGCGCGCGGGCGGCTCTCGAGTATTACAAGATGTATATCCAGTGTGTGTGTGTGTGTGTGTGTGTGTGTGTGTGTGTGTGTGTGTGTGTGTGTGTGTGTGTGTGAAAAAATTGCTGACGTGTATTTTATATAAAGATATATTATATAGAAAAGTTTGCGCGGATGTTTGCGGGCAATGCCATAGTCATGCGCCGCGCTGGGCCGCGCGCCTCGCTCACAGTTCATACAGCCGCGCGCACACGTAGACTTTAAGTCAGCTTTAAGGGCGTATATATGGATTCGGAAGAAGAAGGATTGCTTGCAGAACGAAGAACTTTTGGAAAATATACTGCCGCTGCTGATGCTCGCTCGCGCGCATGAAAGAGAGAGAGAGAGAGAGAGAGCGAGAGAGAGTGAACTCGAGAGAGTTTTCCTTTCTAATTGAATTATTGTAATTTATGAGCTATACTCTCTCCCTCTCTTGAGGAGCGTTGAAACTTTGCCTCGCTGAAGTGTTGAATTGACTGCGTATTATTATATAACTAGGACCATCCCCTGTGTTCAATAAAGGATTATGAAATGGAGATGCTGGGAGACTTTTTATTTCCCAACGATCCACAAACTCTCGAGTCTCGCGCCTCCTCCGATTCGCTCTTCGGCTTTAACTAGCTCGAGCTATATAACCCAACGATCTCGACGACGCCCCGTCAAGGACTCGTGTATAATTAATATCGAATTTTCCGACTGCGCGCTTTCTTTCTTTTTCCGCAACTTCCATGCTTCTAAAAGTATATAATATATTGAAACAGTTGGAGCGAGCCGGAATCGGAATTTTTTCCTACGTTACGATTCCGCTGTTGTTGGCCAGGAATATTTCCCGATAATAATTACGAAATGATTGAGTGTCCGTAAGCGAGTACGAGTCAAGAAAATTCAGTGTGTGTGTGTGTGTGTGTTCTATACAATTGTTGAAGCATCGAGCGAAAAAGTATATGTATAGGAAGAAAGCGAGCTGCTCTAGACAGAATCCTGGGCCACACACACACACACACGTGCTCGTGCTGTATCCGTGTGGCTCTTGAAGGAAACGAAAGGAAGGATCGCGAGCGAGAAAAAATAAAGAAAAAAAGCTCCCATCCTTTTGTCGACGTCGGAGAGCTAGCTCTCGCACACGGGAAACACGGCTAGGGCACCGCTGCTGCACGAGAGGAGAAAAAAGTTCATACTTACCATCATCGCCAGAAAATATACGAGCGAATCATATTCCTTAAGTCTTTTCTCTTTCTCTTCTCTCTCTCTCTCTCTCTCTCTCTCTCTCTCTCTCTCTCTCTCGATAAATCCCTGCGCCCGAAATATAATATAGGATGAGCTTCTGGCATTTTTTTTCTTGTCTCTTTCTTCGGCTCGTACAACGTCGACGACGAGTTAAATCGGAGAAATCGCTCAAGCTCTATATGCAATATACGTGATGTCGTAAAGAAGCTTTTGATATACAACACCGCATCGCGATCGTCGTGTACACGTGTTTCGCGTAATGAGAATCTAATGATAATTAAAGACGCGTCAGCGATGTAGCGCCGCACATTTTGTGTGTGTATATTAAAAATCTGCACTCGAGAGTTTCTCGGTACAGACGACGTGGCTCGACGACAGTCGACACTTGTTATAAGATACACGCTCGACATGGTAAATATAAGACTCTTGATTTTTTTTCTCTCTCTTTATAAAAACATAATGGCGTATATATAAAGTTGAAGGCGATATAGTTTTTGATCGTGGCTCGTTGCGAGGAAGCTAATATATAAATCGTCGAACAAAGTCGTCGAAAAACTGGAGCACTCGAAAGAGAGAGAGAAACTCGAAGACAAACAATCGCAAAATCCCCGGGTCAAAGAGTTACGCTCGGCCGAATTCTGTTTTTGCTCGTTACACTCGCGCTCGTGCGCGCGAGCTTTACGTGGTCTGCGTCTCTCTCACTCTCTCTCTCTCAGTGTGTATGTGTGCATTAAAGATAAGTCCTTATCTATCCGAAACCTTAATAAATCGCTCTTTATCTGCGAAAGGGAGGGAGTAGTACGTGCGAGAGATTCAGCTCCTGCTGACGCGATCGGAAAAGACGAGCGAGCTGCGTATCTGGAATTGTTATCGAAAAGGCAACGAGCAGCCAGCGGAGAGAATATCATTGTCCGGGAAAGCTTTACATCGCTGCGTATTTTATTTTATAGATGTATATAGGAGGACAATTTACACGCCGTATACAAAACGTATATAAATATACTAATGTTGCTTTGTTGTTGTTTTTTTGTTGCCGCTGACAGAAGAGACGTGGGCGCTGCGCATGATGGAGCTGGTGATACCGCCGCACGCGATAAGGGGCCAGAACGTGAGGCTCGATTGCAACTTCAACCTGGACAATGTGAACCTCTACTCGGTCAAGTGGTACAAGGACGGCAACGAGTTCTACCGATATCTGCCGGGCGAACAGCCGCCCGTGCAAGTTTTCACGCTGCCCGGCGTCACCGTCGACGTGAGTATTTAACCCGGCTGTACATATAATGCATAGAACAGTTTCGCCGAGGCTCGATTTCTATAATCCGAGAAATAGCTCCTAGTATACCATACGATAATAATAGAGCAAAGTCGCTTGCGATAAGAGAGAGTAGTAGAGCGTAGGATGTTGCAGCTCATGGCCATTGCGGTGAACGTATAGAGACCCCCGGCCAGAGACGCGCGCTATTATACACATCAGACGGTGGAGCAAGAGAGGCAAGTTGGCAGCTCGGAGGAGCGTGACGATGACAATGGCACCGAGAGAGAGAGAGACAAGCCGTATATTACGCTTATTATATTCCCAGGGACCGATTCTCCGCACGTGCGCTAGCCCTCTTTTGCTCTCTACTCTGCTGCTGCTGCTGCTGCTGAAGCTCGCATACCTATTCGACTTGCGATGTTGCAGCTATAGTCGGCCACGATACCCCGCCGTCCTTTCATATCGCCATAACGTGTGTACATAGTCTCGTACTTGGCCGGACATTTCCGCCAGCTCTAGCCCTTTTTGCTCTCCATTATACGAGTTACGTGTATATAATGTATAAATACGCCAGCTCCTATGCTCGTATTATTATTTCAATGCCGCGTACACAAGTTGATTTTGCAGTTATGCGTGTATAAATATGTGCGGCCGCGCGCGCTTTCTGCTCAATTTAACCTGTATATCGTGGTATTGACGGAAGCGCCAACATCGTCCTTGTACCGATTAAATATTGAGACAAGCTCGTGTCTGTTGCTGGACAAAACTATCAACTATTAACTAACTAACTACAATTTGTTCCGACTAATCTTTCACTCCTTCACTTTTCATCCACGTTTCGTCTCTAAGTTTACTCGGTGCCTTCGGGCCAATTCGGTTGCGAGCTATAAGGGGCAAATATAACCAGCTACTGTACCCGACCTTATAAATAGAACCAATTAATTTTGCGAATTATCGGACGCTCGTATTGATTTTCAAGTCTATTTAAGGTACGGCATGGTGCATCGAATTTTATTTTAAGCGTCGAACCAAAAAGAAAGGAATATTCCTCCATTTTCATAAGCGAGCATAATACACCAAAAGATTGAAAAACTTTTGAGCTCATTTTGACGGTGGGGTACATTTTCGCGCACGCCAGCTTATAATATTATTTTCCAACAACGGCGGTATAAAAATAAAAGTTGTAAAAACCGTAAGCCCAGGAAAAAACAATTTGTCAAGAACAAAGCAGGAAATTTTCCAAAAATAATATTCTCAAGGCTCCGGCAACAAGACTTTCATCCCTGGACAAGCTGCTGCTGTTTCCGTTCTGCGAGGGCTGATCTTTATAATCCACGAAGAGCGGCGCACGCTCTCTGTCTTTCTTTAGCGCCGCGCGCGCGAAGGGGGCGAGGCAACGACGGCCAACTGCCGAAAGAAAAAAAAAAGAAGAGTGTAAAAAAGAAAACGGGTCAACCCATCAAACTCAACGCCCCATCTGCCAAAATCGCCTAGCCACTTCAAACCGCGTGTTGTGACTGAGAGAAAAAAAAGCAAAGTAAAAAAAGGAGAAGAAGTTGGCCGAAGAAAAGTCAAAGGCCTCGTTAAAGCTAACAAGAGGGTCTAGCCGCTGAAAAGAAAAGCAGGCGCGTACAAACTCCGCATCCGTTCTTTCTCGCGCTGCGTGCGTATTTGCGATACATGTAAAAAAAAAAAAATGTTTAAAGAGCTGCTGGCTTGATAAAAGGTGCGCATACTGCATATATAGCCATCGGTCGCATATTCGCGAGCGCTGGCGACTAATAATCCGAAGCTTCGCGCATATTAATCACGGCCAAACGAGCCAAGAGCTCGGCGGTGGTGCGACAAGCTTGCGTAGGTCGGGAGCGAAAGATAAAGCTGGCCAAATGTGTTCGAGGGGAGAGAGAGAAGATGCGCAGACGTGTAGCATTCGTTGAGAGGATTAAGGAGTGCGGGGGAGTTACGCGCCGTCCCGCGTGCAGCAAAGTTGTTAATTCAATCAGGATAATTGGCGTCTTTGTCGCGGCTCGCTTGTTTTGTCGCGTTTCAAGCGGAGAGAGAGAGAGAGAGGGACAGGAGATGCGAGGCAGCTCTATGCCACTGCTACTGTTGCCGCTGCTGCTGAGCATTATGGCAATTAACTCGACGCGCTCAGACAAACTTTCCTCCCAGCCAAAGGATATATACTATTTTGTCGAAACTTGATTTATGCTTATTGCGCAATTTGTCAAAATGTTGCCTATATTGCAGCTAATCGAATAGTGCATAAATTCGCTGGAGCATAGAGAAAAAAAGCTTCGGATCCATTGTTCCTTTGGTAATTTGCTGTGAATGCGCGACACAAAGCCCGGAAAATAATACAATCCCAAAGTTGGCTCAACGCTACATAATGTATCATAAATTCAATTTCCTAAATTTTCATTTACATCGATTGTACATTTATTAAATTCCATTATTCACAATTTGGGCGTATAATGTGTAAGTCTCGGCTAAAGATAGGCTTATCGCTTCATCGCCGAATCCAAAGGGATTAATTTTTTATTTGGCATCGCGTTATTATATAATTGCATATGTAGGCATACATACAGGAGGCGGCAAGTGCTATTATCATTATGCGCGCGAAGCGGCACAAGATCTTCTTTGATGATTTTCCCGGCGAGCCGGCACTCGGGGGGTGCGCGCGAGTGAGCTACACACCAGCGACGTTATCTTTTAATTAACCTTAATACTCTTTTCTACGTAATAATGACTGTAGTGGGCTCGCGCCTACGTACACCTGCATACACCTACAATATACCTATACGTAGCAGCGAGACTTTATCAGGAGCTGCAGTGATTAATATGATTTATAGCTGAAAAATTACCTGCTCCCCACCTGTACAACAAACAGTCTAAATTCGAGTTTTAGCTTTTCTCTCGCTCCAACTGCGCGAATAGCGCATAATTATCCGCCTAGCCTCGTACGAGCTACGAGTTTTTCTTGCCGGTGCAACTTCAATATTGACATTTCCGCTTGTACGCATAGTGTAGCGAGGCAGCGCTAGCGCCAAAGCCAACACAGTCCATCTCTTTCTCTCTCTCTCTCTCTCTCTTTTTTCTCTCTTTCTCTGTGAGTACACGTTTAACGTTAAACGCATGTAGAAAAGTCGATGAGGGGGCGAGCGAGCGAGAGGGGGTGAGGAAAAAACAAACACGCGCTCGGAAATTTTTAATAAAGCCCCTGCGTACAAAAATTTTTAGACGAGAAAAAAAAAGTGCCCCGCGTGCGAGCGAGCGAGCGAAAGAGGCGCAGATTGAGCGCGAAATGCAGACACATATACTAATTGAGCATTTGCTTTAAATACTTCTTTTTTTCATTCTGTTTCGATGGCTTTACAGATTCACAATTCAACGGAGCGATCGGTGGTCTTGCAGTCGGTCAATCTCATGAGCTCCGGCCGCTACAGATGCGAGGTGTCCGGCGAGGCACCCGCTTTCCAAACAGTCTCTGAGCACTCGGACATGCAAGTTGTCGGTAAGTCAAAACACATCAATTATATATCCATATAATTATATTTCGATCATTCGGATTTACTCTAAAATTTCGTTGTTGTAAAGATTTCGGGTCATAAAATGCCCGCGCGCATATAATACGGAATCATAATGAAACGCAGGCACACAAGGACGATTAAAAGTTAACCGCATATCGATAACAATACGAATGGCATTATAGCCTTCGGCGTATAGGCAATCGGCTGATGCCGAGCTTTAATCCAAAACACAGAGCTAAATTCAAAGCTCGATCCAACAATGACGACGCTGCCAGACGAGTGCATAGGCAGGGCCCGAGCAATTAAATATCCGCGCGCGCAATGACTATATCTTGCCGTGCAGTTTACGCGCACGGAATACGAAAATTGAATTCATAATAGTGCTTAATATATTTTGACGTACGCGAGCCATGGTCGTGTCCAGGTGCGCGCGTGCCTATTCCCACGCACATAAATTATACATCAAAGTTTATACGCGCAGAGGACGATGATTTTTAAAATGACCGATTCGTGCATAAAAGACCGACTGCGTCGGGATTTGCTCTCTCTCTCTTTCTCTCTCTACGATGAATATTTACGCCCCGTACGTGTAATGCATTAGTTTTGCGCTGCTTGGTAAGCGCCTCTGAATCTGCGTGTCAATCAAAGCTCTCGAATATGACGTACATTGGTCTCGTGAAGAAATCGATATTAATATATGTTTACGTTATCGACTATTGCTCAAAGGTTTAGGCTCAAAGGTACTTTTATTTTTATCTAATATTTTTACCGAATATCAGCCGTAATAACTTGCTTTTAATATCGGTAATTTTGTCGTTTTTAGAACTCTAATTTATGCTCAACTATATCAAAAAATTAATTAATCCATAGTCAAAGTATTATTAACTTTAAGGATTATTGATTTTAGTCTCGTGAAATTTAGTTTAAAAAATTGGCTTTATCGATTTTCAAGAGGTTTCTTTTTATTCGATGGATCATTGCCCCCAGATGCAACTTCAAGCTAGGCAAAAGATCCGCCTTTTTACTATATTTTTTTATAATTAATTACTTGTAAAAGTGGTAAAAGTAGATCTTGTATTTAGTTTGCAGTTGCGCCTCGATTCAATGACCTATCAAATTAAAAAGAAACCTCTTGGATCTTAGAACCAACTTTCGAAACTAAATCCTGGAACAAAGACTAAAATTAATAATACTTAAAGGCTCGAGGGCTATCTGTGATGTTTTGACTATGTACTTAAAATATTTCAATTATAATTTTAAATGCAGAATTAAAAAAGATAAAAGTGACTTTTTTCTACTAATATTTAATGCTACATAAGAATTAGAGGTATCTCTGAGCCCTGCAACGAACGGGTTCGGACGAGAGAGAAGAGATGTTTCTGACCCGACACGCACGGCCAAAGTGCACAAGCACGAGCAAATTGTCTCGAAAGTTGGCGGCTGTAAGCACGTTACAGGCATTATTTTGCAAACACAGAAATGCGCTGCTACTCGGAGACGCACTTTGGTAACTCTAGGCCGTACACTAGCGCAGTACTCGTGCGCGACTCGAACGCCTCGACGCTGTTTATCGTGTTTCCAGCGAGTAAACGATAGCAGACGCAAGTCGGAGACTTTGCGTTTACTTGGCCCACGGTGCGTCTCTCGCTTCGTGGCGATCGATCGGCTCAAAGTCAGCAGCAGACTACTCGGATTAAGTAATCTCGCGGTCCAGCACTTCATTACAAGATCGTGGCTTGTAATATATAAAAAATAAAAAATAAAATAATCAGAGACTCGTGTCGTTTGGGATTTAAAGACTCGTCACTCGAAGGGAGGAGGAGGAGCTGCATAATGGAATTGACAAAGCTGCACAGAGCCGCCGGTGGAAAAGTTGCGCTTGGTTCCGCACGAGGGCGCTTAGCATCGATAGTATACACGTAGCATGTGTGTAAGCCATGCACTGCGACGTCGCTTTGATTTGGCTTTTCGATACGCGCCCAAGAGCCCCTGCTAGCTTATATAGGTACAGTAGCTCTCGCTGCTTGTGTGTTGCAGCCTCGTGACGGATCATAATTCACGATCAAATTTACGATTAACGAGCCGAATATTAATTGATACCAGTATACTCGCTCGAGATACACCGGCAGCAGCAGCAGCCTAATCCATGATTGCAGGAGCTTTTCATGTATATCGGAACTATGTGTATAAGTAGCAGCAGCAATGGAGAGGGTAGAGCGAGACGACGACGACGATGATGATGAGCTGCACGAACAGCTTGTGTACCGTAGTACGCCTTCGACTACAAGTTCGCTACTTAACGCGCGGCAAATATTAAAGCGCCGAGTTTCGAGAGCCTAGACGAGGAGCACGCGATATAGCGAGCCAGCCGATGATAGAGAGATAATTGCTTCGAGTCGCGTCTTTTGTGTAATAGACAGTTTGTACTTACCTGCTACTAACTATCGTTAATCGACCTTTTTCCTTGCTATACCTGTACGCGGACGCGAATCGATCTTGAAATTATTTATATCGAACCCCGTCGTTGCCGCCGCGTATACATTACGCGCATTATACGTACCGTGAAATACGAGAAAAAAAGCGATCTCTCCGGGCTATTATGAATTAATTCACGAGGATACGTATAACACCGGTGCGCAATGTGTGTGATGTTGCTACTATAGTTGCCTGCTATAATACTGCGCTATTCATTTTTTAATTATGCAACGCGGCTATTTTATATTCAGCTACTGCATTCTTTGATGCTGCAGCCGCCCGCCTGGAAGCTTCATTAAATTTCTTTCCTTCTACTCTATCCCTCTATACGTGTTGATTATTTTATCTCGTTCATAAATAATAATTTTTCCTTCCATCCTCTCTCTCTCTCTCTCTCTCTCTCTCTTTCTCCTTCTTTTTTGTAAATTAAAATTAATTATGGCGATCATTAATGCGCTGGCTGCGCATTTGTTATATACTCGAGTAAATAAAGTAAGAAAAAAAAACGGGCCGCATCCTACTCGAGTTTTAATGCGTTTAATTTTCGATATGTTGCAGCGGTGCCCGAGGAAGGTCCCAAGATCACCGGCCGAACGAATCGATATCGTTATCAAGTTTCGGACGTCGTTAGATTCAACTGCACTTCGTCCAAATCCAAGCCGGTCGCAACTCTCAGCTGGTTCATCAACGGAGACCCGGTAAGTTTCTCTCCTCCAAAGTCTTGGAGAATCAATTAAAGCAGCGCCGAAGCAACCAAGATGCCGACGCAGCTCAGCGTATACCATAATATATAAGCCGGTGCATCCCCCAAAGGGACACTATATGTATTTAATCGATAGTAATAATTTGTGTTTGCTCGATTAGAGCAATTTTGCCTGCGGGAGCTGGATTTTAGGCCCGAGCCACAGCCGTATCCGAGACTCGACGAGCTTCGCCTCGCTTTGATGTTCTAAGATACGTTAGTCTATACCTAACAGTTTGCTCGCAACTTGGCGTAAATCACATCTTTGGCAGTGACGATGCAGCGAGATGATCGCCAAGATCGAGGAAATGATACAAGCCGAGCTTTGTTGGTCAAACTCGACAAATAGCCAAATATTGACTTTAAGTAGTTGGCTCTTGCTTAAGCTCCGCTCGCGTTGACTCCATTATACGTATAATCTATATCCATTTGGCATTGTTACTCGAGCCTCTGCCACCGCAACAATTTAAATTGAATCGTCATAATTCAATATCACTCGGTGGAAAGTAAATGAATCTCATATACCAGTAGAGACAGTTGCATCGATCATTTATTCAATTTTAAGGCTAATTGATTATAGTACTCAATCATAAATAACCGTGCACTTATAGAGCATATATATATCTATATATTTTGTATTTGTTTTTGATTTATTTATAGACCGCCGGGGCTCAGTCAAACATTTGTTTCTGTCCATTTGCCATGTAAATTAATTCCTGACAAATATAAACGTAGAAAGGCGCAAAAAAATGTGCAGCACGCGCGCATGTAATTCGAGCTCCGCGCTAAATGAATGGCAACGTGCACACTCGGGTGAATTTAATTGAAAAAATTGACTAAAAATGGCAATATACCGCGCTGATTTGTATTCGTCAAGCGCCCGCGAAATACGACCGTGTATCGGCTATTTCCCGTTTTTCAATATAAATTTCTCGAAACAACAAGTGGAAAAAACATGCAAATATTCGAAAGTTAATTCGAGTAGGTATGCAGCTGCATTAGTTACAAGGGTATCCTGTCGCAGGACAGGGCGCCACCGAGCTCGTGACAGTGCAACAACGTTCCGTGCGCGCGACATCGTTAGTTACTTTGCAGCTCCGACACTCGAATCTATGGCTAGTTATGCACGCACATGCGTAAGGTACACTCGTCGACGATCAATCATAAATTTCTCATTTTATGCTCCCGCTCGTGTAGCCCAAGCGCACCGTAATTTCAACTTCAAAGTCAATATTTGGTGCGCGTAATGATCTTAACTCAATGTATAAATTGGAGCATCAAAAACGACGCGCAATTCGTTTTATATAGCTGTAACGATTTTAGCCTCTTAGTCCCGTACATTGCACACTTGTAGGTGTTGCGCGGAGATTCATAAATATAAATTATTGAATTAAGCACGACAGCCCTTTTGTTCCCTCGAGCCTCTGCCATTGCTTTTTTGAAACTTATTATGCTTTTATACGTTCACACTTTTGGTGAATGTATTATGCCGAGCAGTGGATCAAACTCGATGGACACGTGTCAAAGTGCTATTGTGCGATTGTTAATTTGAAATTGTTTTCGGGGCACAATACCCGAAAGCGAAATAATCATGGATCAATGTAAAGTATAATTCAATTGCGTTACTTAGAGCATCGTACCGCAGGAGACGAAATTGAAACAATTTGTCAGTAAAAAAGTGCAAGACTAAATGTAAACGCGTAGCACTTGAAAAAATTTGTTTGTAAATGAAATTAACATGAACATTTTCTTGAAATTTGTCAAATCGTACAGAGTTGACTGGCCCAAGAGTCAATCGCATCTGGATAATTGACTAATTCTACATTAATTTGCGCAGGTGGATCAGCAACTTCTGCGAGGCCCTTACCTGGAGGAACAGGACCGAGACGGGCTTCAGAACGTGACACTGGGTCTGGAGTTTCGAATAAAGCAGAAGCATTTCAAGCGCGGGGATATGAAGATTAAGTGCCTGGCGAACATAGCCACGGTTTACTGGAAGAGCAACGAGCTCAGCATCGAGGGTTATCGGCCGGAGCAGAACAAAGTACCGGTCATGGAGAGCCGAGAGACTCGGCCCCAGGGTCACACGCACGCCGAGCACATACTTGGTAAATCGAAGCTATAGTCTGACTCACGAACACACCAACACACACGCAAACATACGTACATATAAGTAAAAATATGCAGAGAGCTTCCCTACTACCAAAGAGACGTTTGCACGCGTCCCATTTACACACGCGCGCGTGTACGCGAGAGCATAAAGGGTTGCCGGCGAATTAACTCTACCCGGCTGCGCAGTGCACATCTTGAGTACTACGTAGCTTGTTTGCGGCTAACTGACTGTATAAGGGGCAAGGAAAGCTGCGTCCGTAAAGAGCCGAAATGCTCTGCTGCGACGAGCAACCGTATGGACTGTCATGGCGTATTTCCGCGGCGTAGAATTTGAACGTAGCCCCTGAGACACTGCGTCGAGTTTGCCTTACGAGCCTTTCTCGTCCGATTGAACGCTTACGCGTATGAGTTTTTTACGGCAAATGCCTCTTCCGTACGATCACGAAAGATACGTCGTCAGCTCGTGGTTTTAAAGTCGATCCGAGAACGTTGGTGGCGAGGCGCGCTAACTCTAGGCTTTTTACTTCGTCCTAAGAAAATAATTGCCTTCGAACGGCATATGGCAAAACGTATATTGTAGAAAATGTCGTCGTTTTAAATATATCAATATAGTCTGGCACGAATCTATTGCAATTGCATAAGAATAGCCGAAAGAAGGGGTGGTCGTTTATACAGTTGAAAGACAGGACCCGATCGGATACCCTCATGACCGTGCGTGTGCATGTATAATGCATTAGCATCACAGGCATATAGGAACACTTCACCAAAGTCCATTATCTCTTTTGCAGAATTGCTTACTCCAAAAGAGACTAGGAGTAGACGGTACAAAAAACTCCGCTTTTTATTTAGTTCACAACGCTGCAGAGATTTCGCCTAGATATCGCAACAGACGCCCTGACCCCTAATTGCTCCATTCGTGCACCGTTCCGGAAAACGTATACCGATACAATTTCGCAGTCGCGCATCACTGAAATAAAGAGAAATTTGCGTGCAATCCATACACTCGATTTTTTGCGGCTTGATGATTTTTTCCCTCCGAGCAACGTATGTGTATTCATGTCCAATTACTACAGACCAAGAAGGTGAATAACAAGAGCGTCTCGGGCCGGGGAACGATAACTTCGTTAAAAAAGCATAGACTTCTTTTGTATCAAACGATCGTTGGGCCGCCGCGGCTTTATTAATCTTTCCATGTACTGCAGCGTATGGTAATACGTATGTACAAGGCAGACTTGCGGAGAAATGTGTGTCAAATGCGGCGGGAGTTTTTGAATAAATGGCAGGGTTTGCGACTTTGTTTTGATTTTGTTACTGCTGAGAGTGCAATTTATTAATGCAGATTTAAGGACCAAATTGGACATGGAAATTGAAATAGCCGATCTTGTTTTAACACCACACAAAAAATGTATGAAAATTCACTTGTATACATTATTTTTAAAGTAAAAATGAACATAAAAGATTTAATTGTAAATTCAAATTTATGCTTTTTCATAGAAAATTAATGTTTCAATAGATTGTTAATTTTTTTTCGTTAATTGATAAAAAAAAATTAACAGAAATGCAATCATCACTAAAGCCAGCTTCCACCACTAGATGGCGAGTAGCTTTATCAGTAAATCTACAAGTGCCAAAGTAATATTAATGCTATAACTCAAGCACGGGTTTGTAAAAATTCAATTCCCAGTTCTTGAAAATTTTTTCTTTGGCTATATAGAAAACGAATCAATTTACTTCGGGTCAATTTCTCGCTCGGGTATATAAAGGGACTTTGAATGATTTCAATGTAAAATGTAATGATAATTTGATCGTATCAATGACTAATTAGATGGTTAATTGTATAGCGTTTGCAGATCACGTGCGGTAGGCAGTTACTCATTAACGCTGAGCTACTTTATAATTCAAATAATTATTTCGATCGATACAAGTATAAGAAATAACGACGGAACAATTGGCGCGAAATCGTTAATGAATACAAAATCGTCGATGCGGTTGTTCGTTATAGGATACGCTGGCTGGAGTTGCGCAAAAGAGTCGAAAAGCAAAAAAAAAATGTCGAAAAAGAGTAAAACAAAAAGATAGCGCGCGCACAAGCGAAATACATTAGCCCCGTAAAACGTGCAATGCTCGAAACACATTCATAATATTTTACTATCTCAACGCGCGCCCCCGGTATAACTTTGAAATTCAAATGGCGTACCCTATAATACAGAAAAGGATTTCTCGAGCCTGATAAGGGATATATCTGGGCGGGTGTAGGGCTGCATACCCAGAGCCACTCGCACACACGTATGCAGCAGTCGACGTGTCTGTACAGTTGCTGCATATGAGTGCCGCTATGGCCGCCGCCACCAACCAAGTTCCCTCTCAATGTTGCGGTTTCGCGCGAGGAGAAATACGTCTAGCCTCGCGTCGCGCACGTCGCACCTCGTATCTCTCGTATATAACACGCAAATAGCTACAATTTTGCGCTTGCGATATTTTAACCGCGCGTACACACACACACACACACACACACACACACAGCCAACTCGGCTGCAGCTCGGCTATTCGAGGCTATTAAAACGTTTCTTCGTTCGAATTTCAATCGAAATTTAATACTCGAATAATCCTCGAATGTCAACTTGCCTTTTCTGTTCATATCAATCTTGTCAATGTTTTGTAAAATTACGCTCCCGGTTTTATTCGAGCAAAAGATGACTCGGCCCTTGATAAAAACTAAATCAGCCCGGCTAATACTTTTTCTGCTCGCACACGTGTCCGAATGCATTTCTCGCGTTAACGTCAGAAGTTGCAGGCTTTTATTTTTAATACTCAACACGTCGGGAAGATGAAATTCGACCCCCGCCGACCGAGCTCCGACTGAGCATTATATGTAGCGGCGAGAGAACTGACTCCGTGTGTGTGTGTGTGTGTGTGTCTGTGTCTGCAGATGTACGTCTACGTGCGATGCGATGCGCTGCTAGCCAAGCTGAATTTAGATGCGCGCAAAGCTCCAAAATATTGATGCCTGGCAAAACCGCAGTTGGGAATATACCTACATAATATATATATAGCTCACGTGCGAGCATATCTTTCACGTGTGCGCTCGAGTGTGTAGCAGCTATAGAAGCGTACATGCTACTACTGCACCGCACGATGCGGCCGTATTAAAACTCTGCTTAAAGTATAATAACGCATTATAAAAGTTGTTATCGGTGTCTCTCTCTTTTCTCTCTCTCGTGACGGCTCGTGCGCGTGTTCGAGTTTCAAAAAGTAAAAGCGTCCGTTGTATTCGCGCGATGCTTATGTGCGTATTGTGCATGATCAGTTGGGCAAAATAAATAATGCACAGCTCGTGCGACCCTTAATGCGTGCGAGCTTTTATTGCATTATTCAGACCATCATGAATGCCTTTCTATATACTAGCGAATTATTATGAATTATTGAATCGTCACTTTATTCACTATACAATAATCCACTGAAACGCACCTTCGGCGATTGTTTGGAGAAAAAGTTACGTAGCCAATTGTAAAAGTCATTAAAATTCCATCAGATTCTTTACTGGCTGATTCACGCAGGAGCGATAAAAAAAAAGTGCGCCGCACCCTCGTGCCCGACCGACGACTTGTCATCGGATTTACCCCACGCAACTCGTTGAGTGCTTCTTAGTTTTCTGTCAAATGAGTCACTCGAGGGCCGACGACGTCACTGACTCTCGGACACCCCAATTTTCTCGAATCATTATATTATATAATCCGATGCTGTACGATTTGCTTCCAGTACTAGTAGCAGTAGTAGTAGTAGTAGTAGTAGTTGGCAGTGGTATACAGCCTCGATCCACACAAATCAACGCGATGGCGTATCTAATCCAACGTGACTCAACGCCAACATATATATCGCGGAGCTTCCATGAATCACTCCGACTTCTCAACTACTCCCCGTTGCTATATGTCTCCGTGTTTATGTGTGCCACGCAGATATTACCTCGAGACATATCTCTCGCGAGCTGCTGCTGCTGCTGTTGCTCGGCTCAGCTCAGGGGGCCCAAAGCTCAAAGCTGACATTATTTGTTCCAAGGCTTAAGTTGTTAAATATATGCATAAACACGAGCTTGGCAAATAAACTCTCGTATTTTACTGCCTTAGGCTGATAGAGCACATTGTGCCTCGAGCGTTATCGGGCGCTAATCGGGCGTGTAGAGCAGTGCACGGCTCGTATCGACGGCAGCAGCGACGCGCACATAGCGCTGGAATTCAGAAACGTCGTGTCAAGCGTCAAAGTGAGAGGTGAATCGACGATGCAAGTTCTCTCTCGCTGCGCGCGAGAAATCTTGCTCGAGTTATGTCCCGACGCTGCGGATTTTCGGATGCACCTTCGGCAATAAAGTTAACGGTCGTTCACGTTTGCTTAATATAACGCCGTCGAGCTTGTTCGGCGCGACGACCGAGTATTATGCATATTTTAAGTGTGCAGTCGACTGTTTTGTAAAGCGAATAAACACGAATGCGCAAGCTCGAGAGATTCTCGTGTTCGCAGACTGGCTCTCGTGTATACTCCATCATCTTTTCCGCCACGGATAATCGCTCCACGCGCCACGACGAGCCAGCCGTATAATTGGTGTAACGGCGTAACGACACAGACTTAGCTAATTTTATTTGTTCGAGCGAGCTAAATCTAGCAGAGGAAAAGATATGTTTACTCTCAAATTGCGGAAAAATCGGGCAAAAAAAAATAAAAGCCGAGGCGCGCAGTTATATAAAGCTCGATTGTACATACCAAGTTCACGGTATACACAATATCAAAAGTCAATAGGATTTCTGTGCACGTGGAATAAGCTCACCTATATAAAAGTATCATGGGGGCTTGGCGGTATTGAAGAGACAGGTAGCGGCCGAAATATAACAAAAGACTCGTAGCCACAGATATATATCTATATAATATGTACCTATAGGATAGGAGGAGCAGCGGCTAAAAGCTCGCTTTCTCTCTCTCTCTCTTTCTCTTGCCGCAACGAGGCAAAGCTCGTTTTCGAGCGACAGAAAGAGAGGAAGAAAAAAACGAGTGAGAGAGAGAGAGCGAAAAAGGCTTCATTGTCTCGTAGAGCTCTGCAGAGTCGAGCCGCGCGACGCTTTTTCCCCGACAACAACTATTTCGCGCTCGCTCGTTCGCTCGCTCGGCGAGCAGCATTATAGCCGTCGGCCGGGTTCGCGCGAGGGCAAACAAATTTTAATTAAAGTCGTAAGGGCCTCTCTTTCTCACACTCGCCCCCAAAGTCGCCTTGGCATTAATACCCATGGCGCTCGACAGTCGCACACTAACCCACACTAACCCCGAGTCTTTGCCGAGAGCTCGAGCTATTACTTTATGCCCGGCTTAAAAAACTCGCAAGCTCGCCTCACTGACGAGCTTGCGAGCACGTTTAAGACCACCTCTTTCCTCTCTACATATATACACACACACTTCTTTCACATGCACCTGTATGCATAATACACATCACACGTAATTACAACATATATACGTAGATACATAGCAGCTTGCAGGCTAGCGCATACAAACAAAAACGAACTTTAATCAAAGTCCGTCTCTTTTCGGACTTATTTTCTGTTGCAGCGAGTGCCAATGCCGCTCAGTCGAGGCTCCATTGCGGCCTGCCGATGCTCCTCGTCGTCGTGGCTCCTCTTCTGCGGCTCCTGCTCTGAAGAGGCCTCCGCTCCGCTTCGTCCGATCGAAGCGATCGAGCCTAGATTTATGGCGTTGACAGAGACAAAGCTCTCGAGGTGAGCGCCAATGGATCGATCGTTCAGCCGATGCTCTCTTCTGTAAATATCGGGATACCGAGCGACGCGGATTATCCAAAGAGCGGCATCAACTAACGATCACATGGCCAGAATATTATATTCGTACGAAGCATTATTATATACGTATATAAGTATTGTATTAAATAACATGCGATAAAACGTGGCTATTTATATTTTTATAAATCTATGTGTAGTGGGTTGTGCAGCAAAAGTGTAATAATAATTGTAAGAATTAACGTGTCAGTGTGATTCTTTGCGATTATCTAATATACGGACCAGATAAGCAGTGACTTACTCGCCGCATTTGAGTGAAAGCCATGCGATAATTTGGCAAACATATAAACGTGAAAAACTTGACATTGAAAATATTTCTGAAAATATAGTGCAGCTGTAGTAACGTCGTGAGAGAACGAGAGAAAGAAAGCGTATAAAACAGAGTCTGTACCAGGCGATATTTTAACATTATCGTTTCGTTGAATCCATGTGTATGTATGTATGTATGTATGTATGTGTGTATATATAAACGGTTTAGGAGCTTCGGAATGACTTTTAAATCAACTATATTATGCAGTCACGCGCGCCATCATTAATATATCGGAGTAGTTGGAGCCATTCTTCTCGAAAATTATAACTGTATATTTAATTTGTCAAAGTCGCGCGCGCGAGACATCTTTCATTCAAATTTAGTAGGGAAGAATCGTTGCCGCAATAAAATCACTTGAGAGTGTAGGTATTTTTAGGTATTTTTGAAAACTGGTAAAGCTCGAGCTCGAGGAGAGAGAGAAAGCGCAGCATAAAGACGAATATAGAGCGAATTTATCGAATTTCACGTTAAATTAAATCTGTCAAGGAAGTCGGGTTTCGATGGAAGTGGCATTTCATGTACGGTACAGGCACATTTGCTTATGTACTTAATACGTATTATAAAGGGCCAAATTAAAGTGTGACTTTTGTGCGTCGAAAAATAATTGTTTATGAAAGACGAAAAAAATCAATGGTGTGATCGTAGTGTGCTAAATGAGCATGTAAAAATGATGAATTTACCTTGTTTTTCATGCATAGCCGAGCGTCATGCACGCGGCAATGATACTGTTTATCTTCCATGTATGAGCGTGTGACAGCCCAGAGAGACTCTCGAGTAATTTAATTAAGGTTAAAGACAGCAAAATTTTCAAGAATTTCCCGGCATAATCTAGAGAAATTCGCTCTTATACGCGTCTTGGAGCTTGCGCCAAAGTCACAGGTCTCGTTTTCCGTATTATAAGTATAGTAGACGCAATTAACTTTAAGTCAACCGTGTGAGAAAGAGAGAGAGAGAAAGAGAGAGCTTGATAGCTAGGATAATGCAGAGGAGAGACTAGAGAATATTTAGGCGAACATTTATGCGATTTCATTAAATTTAAACGCGTGACATTTCGGCGAACATTTTACAGCGCGCGACTCGTCAGAGTCTAACTCGAATTTTTATTATTCTTCATGATTGTAATTAATCGGTGCACTTGTATGATAATTTAGTTTTGAGCATGTAGTATGCAGATTTTTTTCGTAAAATGAAAAGAGAATCTACGTAAATTATTTTGTCACGACGAACTTTATATTTTTTCTAATTTTGCTTCACTTGTCGTTCAAAATTTTTTATAAAAATTATACGAGTGCTTAGGGCGTACCAACTGTATGACTCAAAATTATCTAAAACGCGAGAGTACAAATTCAATATTTTTTCTCATTTGAGAAAACATCATTGACTCATTGGATACATACAATAGATCTGAAACGTTGTATCATACAATTTGAACGTGTAAATACATAATCATATTAATTTTGGAAGATGAAAACTTTAACTTATTACATTAGATATAGGCACCTTTCATCGTTTGCAAAAATCTTTTAAAGAATAATAATATATTACTCACGATTCAAGTGTGTTGAAAAAATAATATTAATATTTGACGTTGTATAAGCATTTTAAAATTAAATCGTTCAACTACCAAACTATAGCCACGACAATTTTGTCCTTTACAAACTACGAGATTTTACCATATTTTGGATTTCTAAAGAATATTTATAGAAAAGAGTCGATATTGTGTACGACAGAAAAAACTCAATTATTGAGATTAAATAATATATTTGTAAAGATGTTACGATCGTTGACAGAATCTTACATTTTAAAAATGTTCAATATATAAATAGAATAAGTGAAGGGTACCTGTATCATAACAAAAGATCTAAGAAAAACTTTAAATCATAATTCATGTAATGGTGTAGGTCTATTTCATCATGCATATTACGAGAGGATAATTAAATTTTTCATATCTAGTAAAAAAAGGTGTATGAATCGTCTTATACAAATATTAGATACATGATTTTCTTTTAAATAAATGTGTTATGCATCAGACATTATGTTGATGTAAAGTATTATCAAACAACAGTAGTACTGCGTTTAAAATCTTAACCAATCGCGTGATTCCAAACTTTTGTGAAAATCATACTTAATTTATGAAAACTCATTTCATAAGGTTTTTATTACATACTGTATATTTTGAATGATAATTTAAATGACTAAAATAGCATAGAATATTAACTTATAATCCAAGTAAATTATTATGAGAGGCTGCGTGCAAATGATTTCTACTAAGAAATATATTTTTCTAACAAATATTCTTCCATTAACATTCAAAACCCAAATGAATTAACGAATTTACATATGTAATAGAAGTTATCCATTGTCAATCTTGTATGAATAATTTTTCAAACCCTGCCTACAGCAGCCTCTTGTTTTTCACTACATACTTTATGCACGATAATTTGTAACTCACACATACACACACATATACATTTATTGTTCAGTGCTGAGAGAAGATATATAAATTTCTTAATTGCGTATACACTATCACCTTCACCAAATATATTAATAAGAAAGTACGCCTCTAATCTAGTCTATGCGAGCAAAGAAAATATATGAAATCACAGAAAATCTATAATTTATCAAGTGTTCCACTTCATACGCTAAATTCAAACATTCCTAGTTGTTAATCTGTGTGCGATGTATGAGATTTAAAAGTATGGAATGTATTATTTTCATTTTTTCCAATAATTCATAGTTGTTAATGTAAATATGTACATAAAATAAAATGAACTCTTGATGATAGTTGTAATTCAGAAATAAATGATTCTAATTATCTTGAAAAATGTTACGTTGTTTTATTATTTTCAAAACAATTTCTTCACAATTACTTAGACAAAAATAAACAAACACAGTTATCTTATTGATAATACTTATCGTAATGACAGCTTATAAAAATATAATGTTACTTTTTACAGTGTATTTCAAAATGTCATGATTTAAAATTACAAAAATTCTACAATCTAATAACAATAAACAAATTTTGAAAGCTTAGAGTGCTACTATAGAGATGTAGCACTTGAAAGACATCTATGAGTAAAGAAGTTGTGTCTTTTTCTTTCATTTCCTTTGGCACTTGAACTTCTACCAAAGAAATTCGATATTTTATTTTCAACTCCAGGAGAATCATCATCTATATTTTCCCACTCAACATTAATAGCTTTAGATTCTAATATTTTCTCCGCAGTTGACCAACTGAATCTTACAAGTTGAGGAAATCCAAAAATTGGATCCACATTATCAGCTAGCCAAGTTTTTGTTACTGGGTCATTTGGATAACCACTACCATAAGCTGTTTCATTTTCTGCTTCTCTAAATTGCCAAGCTCTGAGAGCATGATCTCTTGATACTTTTGCACAAATACTGGCTGCACTTACAATAGGATATGTAGAATCAGCTTTTTTAGCAACAGTGATTTTGATTCCTGGAAACAAAGATTCTAATCTAGCTTGATACTTTTCTGGCTTTCCAACTGTGTCAACATAAATTTCAGTGACGAAAACTCCAGCATCCAAAGTTTTACGTATCAAAGCAATAGCTGAATTCATAGAAACTTCATTTAATGATGTTTTACTACGTCTATACATACAATTGGCTATATAGTTTGGAGATATAGAATCCACAGCCCAACCCATTTTATCTTCATTTTCACAAATTTTATCAAAAATTATGTCTCGTTTTTCTTCCGTAAGACTCTTGGAATCAGCACAGCCTAAATCAACTAGCAATTTCTTTTGTGACAAGGGTGCATATGCGATCCCATAAACCATGGGACCCAATACAGGTCCTCTACCAGCTTCGTCCACACCTAATTGACAGGGTTCATCCTTACAAATTTGAGGAATCTGTAAAATATTGAGGTATTAAAATAATAGTGTATTGGATAATCAAGAAAACAAATTAATGATTTGCTATACTTGTGACTGATAAACATGATTAATGCTGTGGTCCCTCGAAGCAAAATAAGAAGTCAAATCATTTTTCTTTGTTATTACATCAATGGATTTATCTGATTTTATTGTTAGTTCATCGTCTTCTTCCTTGACTTCTGGTTTTATTTTGAGTTCATCCTTTACAATTGCGTCACTATCACTTATGTCTATTTTAGCTTTTTTTTCAACAGGTTCATCTTCCAGTTCGATTTTAACTTTTTTTAAGATTTCTGAATCTGTAATTGGTACATCTTCGTTCATAGAATTGGCGGAATCATTTTCATCCACACTTTGATTAATTTCAGTTTTTACAACAGTTTCATCGTCTACTTGTTCATTTGTTGCAACCATTTTGTTTAGTTTGTAATAAATATTATCACTATAAATGCGAAACAATCGTCTGATGCAGAAATAACCGATGAATATGACGATTATCTTCTGCTACGAGCCGGCGATGAGAAATTTGGCGCCAATATTACGCGAAAACGGCGCATCAACGCTGCGCTTCTGCGGCGCGCGAAATTTCGAGAGATTAAAATTTTGCAGAATCATAATGATTTTACAGTAAGTCAACGCAAAAATTGTACTTTTAAAGATAGTATAAAAAAATATTCATTCACAGTTTTTTATATGCTGAAATAGTTAAGATTAAAAAACCATTAAAATAATCTTCATGCAACCAAGTCTTGAATATTATCTACATACTGGTTATAATTACCGGAAAATCGAGTCACGCGCAAATCGTAGCCGCGCGCTGTTTCATGTATTTCAAATAATTTCGACTGCAGGTCATATATGTAGAGTAAAACGTTATTTCAAATTTGCTACAGGTATTGCGCGAAATAAAAAAACTCTCAAGGGACAGGCTGAGCTTGGCCAGGCTATGCAAGAGGGCAGCACATACCAGCTTTTCGCGCAAAAACGTGAAAGTCATGATGCATGTTCTAGTTTTTTTGCTGCTGTACATTTATTAATGTTGTAATGGAATAATGACTTCCTTTGAGTTTACGCAACCCATGATCTCATTATTTTTCAAACAGGAATTGTATCAGATGTAAAATGATCATTATACGATACTGTAGAATTAAAAATATATTTATGTAGGTTTTTCAATATAATATGAGTGATTTTAGCAATTATCTATCGATGAACAACTTCTACCATTGGTTAATTTCAAAATTAAAAATATCGAACAGCTCTAATCTGTCATAGGAAAAAAACTATAAATTTCTCTTTAACGTATGAATAAATAATAAAATTACAAAATTCATTCGTTCGAAGTAAAATTGAAATTGTCAGGTTGGTGAAACGATAACGTGATCTTCATTAAGTATGAAAGTTATCTAATGGTCCGAATGAAAGTAAGATGTTTATAGATTTTTTCACCGTACAGTGCAATAGGCTGAGCGTACAAATCGATAAAGAAATATACCTCCCACGACTCGTGAAATACATTTTCACGCTCTCAATAAGTGTACAAGTCTTAATAGAGGGATTTTTAACATAACACGCGTAACATCACGCGCGTATACATGCCAGTGGGAAATTTAATTTCGAGCTTGGAGATCCGTTCGAGAGATGTCGTTGGCGCTTTTATGTGCCAGGGCGCGTGTTCGGCACTCGGCAGCTTTCAATATACACATAACACAGCGGATTTTCAGTCTAGCTAGTACTGGCGAGCGCGGCCGAGGTTGTTTGTTTCACCTATGTGTCAAAGCTTAACCTGCCAAAAGCGTTGATCGCTCGATTTTCTCGCCTCTATTGAAGTTCCTTCAGAGGCAAAACAAATCATCTCGGCCCCGGGAAATAAAGCTCGAGCAGTTCTTCGTCCTTGATAGAGCAGTATTGGTGAGTAGGCACTAGTTGTCATTTTTTTTATCGAACAAAATTTTCATTTGCAAAAAGTGCATCGAGATGACACAGTTGGCTTGTTTACGCGCTATAAGTAACGAAATCACGTAGTGCGATCGATCTCGGCCTCTCTCTTTTCCTCTCTCTCTCGTATAAACTATACGTCAACTATGATGTTATATACATATCTAGAACGGATAGCTAATTGCGGATCACATCGTGCTATGGTAGATATATAAGAACATTGGATTACGTCAGAGATTAAGCGAATCATTAGACCCAAGCCAAGATGTTTGTATGGGGTATGCTTAATTGCTGTATGTACAAGAACCGATCTTGGCGCCTGTTACATGATTTGTTGAACGTTCCAAGGCAATGATATGCGGCAATCCGAGAATTGATTCCAATTGTCGCATGGAAATATTAAAATTGAAGCTCGATTGTGGCTACTCTGCATTTGTCCCTATCGATACAAGGCGTGAGATTTATTTACTGTATACACTTTTATTGTGTAACACACAGCATGTGGTGTATAGGCAACAGCTCGGGTCGATTGAACAGCTTGGAATTATTTTATAGGTGCAATTTAAAAGACGCGACTAAATATGACACGATGTGCTCACGTTTACGTCGATTCGCGCGAATCTCTTTCGATGCCTTCGTATATATTTGTTACGGCATGTATGCGAATATAAACGCGCGAGCTTTACTTATTATTGCTTGTTGATTGATAAGGAGACGCGCCGAATGGGATGTTTGGGTTTATAACGCGCGTCTCTGTACACACAACTGATTTGCGAATTTCGTTAGTTTGTGAATATTTAAGAATGATAATCGATTTATTTGCATGCCTCTGAAGCCAATGCTCGACTCTGCCTTTGCAGCGATCGTGTCGAAATACCATTGTTGCATGTATACGGCTTTGGAGCTTCGTTGAATACGATTAAACTAAATTCAAGAACGACCAAGTACTACACGCGCGCGTCTCTCCATATTTTACGCTCAAGTTCGCTCGTAATTTTTGCTTTTTATGCGTCCACTTACTCAGCATATTTTTATTTTTAATTTATTATTATTTCGCCGACAATAATGCCACTTTCATTTGGCGATTAGCAATTTTTTTCCATCTCATGTTTTTTTGCGTACTTTTCCGAAATCAATTTTTCCTGAAATCATATACTAGCTAGTGTTTACCAAACGTTCATTCAAGAACCATTAGTTCTGATACTAATTAGATCTTTATCTGTCAAACACGATAGGAAATCTTATCTATGACAGCAATTCGAATGTAAATAATATTTTAATAGACGAACGTAAACTCGCAAGGTTCATACTTCTTTGATGATTTGTTAAAGAAAAAGTTTAATTGTAGTGCAACATTTTTCATTTTATTTTTAACCGTAATTTTTGTTGTAAAATATAAATAATTTATTTTTTTCAGATTCAAATCATCCATAATGACTGCTAAATTGTTATGGCAAGATTACATTGTTATCGCAGCAACAATGTTTATAAGCATTGGCATTGGGATTTACTACAGGTTTTCAGGAGGCAGACAAAAAACCACATTGGTATCTATCAAAAATTACTTTTTGTTTTTTGTATTTTCTTTTATTGCGCAACAGAACTAATTTTTTTTTAATTTTTGCAGGAATACTTTTCTGCCAATAAATCAATGGGAGTTTTGCCTGTCGCCATTGCACTTATGGTTTCCTTCATGTCAGCCATCACTTTACTCGGAGTTTCAGCTGAAAATTATACCTACGGAACACAGTTTGTTGTTATCAACATTGCATATTTAATAGGAACACCTATCATTTGCTATGGATTTTTACCAGTATTTTATAACCTGGGAGCAGTCAGCGCATATGAGGTGAGAAAAACTTTCACTGTAGACTAAATAAACTATTCAGGAATCCTTGATTATTTCTCTACGATATGTTATTTAGTACCTAGAAAAGAGATTTGGATATTCTGCTAGAGTAGCAGCTAGTTTTGCCTCATGGGTACAATTATTATTGTACTCAGGTGTTGTGCTGTATGCTCCATCGTTGGCGCTGGAAGCCACAACAGGGCTGGATAGAAAATATAGTATAATAATAATTGGTCTTGTTTGTGCATTTTATTCCACTATTGGAGGAATTAAAGCTGTTTTGATAACAGATGTTTTTCAAGGAGTATTGATGTTTGCATCTCTCTTTATTGTGATAATTAGTGCTGCCATTAGAGTTGGTGGATTAGGTGAAATTTGGAAAATTGCACAAGAAGGAGGGCGTCTTGAATTTAACAAGTGCGTATAAGCTGTTATTATCTACATTTATGGGAAAATATATTTAATAGTAATTTTTTAATAAAATTGAAATTGTACTTTTCCTATTTCAGCATATCATTTGATCCTACAGTTCGTCATACTTGGTGGGGTTTGATTATTGGAGGACTATTCACATTTTTATCACTTTTTGGAGTAAATCAAGTACAAGTTCAACGAATGATGACCTTGAAGTAAATATTTTGAAAATTTAATTATAATTATAATTTATGAAAAGAAGTTCTGAACTATTAATGAACTTTATAGTTGCTATAACTACTTTTTTCTTTCAGGACAATGAAGTCCTCAAGAACAGCTTTGTGGTTGAATTGGCCGATTTTAACCTGCCTTTCTATTGTAACATGTTTTTCTGGACTTGCCATTTATAGCCATTATTATAAATGTGATCCTAGAGAAGATGGTAGAATAAAATCTCCTGATATGTTGATGCCTTTATATATAATGGATACTCTGTCAAAGTTCCCTGGAATTCCCGGATTATTTGTTGCCGGTATTTTTAGTGCAGGTTTGAGCACTATATCAGCTGGTTTGAATTCTTTAGCAGTTGTAACTTTAGAAGACTATATCAAACCAATTTACACAAAAGTAACTGGAAATGAGTTCTCAGAGCCAAAATCGTTAGTATTTAGTAAGCTGTTAGTGCTTACTTTTGGAATTGCTTGCATTGCCCTTGCTTTTGCTGCAGAACTGTTAGGTACAGGTGTGTTGCAGGTAAATAATTTCGTTACATTTTCAACTATTAACTTAGTTAATTAATTCTGTTTATAATATAATTTTATTAACCTGCATTATTTATAACATTTTAGGCTAGCTTGACAATATTTGGTGTTGTTGGTGGACCCTTATTAGGAATTTTCACACTTGGAATGGCAGTAGAATCTGCTAATGAAGTTGGAGCAGTTACTGGTCTTTTGACGGCTATGACATTTTGTTTATGGATTTCATTTGGGCAACCAAGACCACCTATCCCAACTTTGCCGGTTTCAACAGAAAATTGCGCTTTGAAACGTGAAATAGCTACGATTTTACAGGCTTCACTACCGATGTCAGAGAAACTTGTTGCTGCACCACCGTGAGTAGCATTTAGTAAATTAATTGAATTATTTGCCATTATACACTCATCAATTATGTTTATTTTTTTGAATAGACCTGAAAGCTTCTTTTACCTTTACCGAATTTCATATATTTGGTATAGCGTAATAGGATTTGCTATTACTATAATAGTGGGCATTTTAGTAAGTTACATTATTCGAGCGACTCATGGAAACTTCAACGACGAATTGGATCCTGAGTTATTTTTCCCAGTAATTGCCAAGCGCATTCGTAAACGAAGACAAGCTAGAAATGCACTTAATGGTAATCTAGAACCAAATAATTTATATGTTTTCGATGGTAAATATCAAGAATCGGTGAGAGATAAAAACGCAAAGATCTATTTATAGTTATGTTTTTTTAAGCACCTAAATTATTATGGTGGATTTTTCGATATTTTATGCAACCGCATAAAGATGTGATATTATTTTTCATGCGATATTTTCTTTCTGAAAACTTTTTAGACTAATGTATATAATGATTCAGAATATTTCATGGAATGGTGTATAAATTAGACTTTTTTATTAACTTCAACGGTATAATATTTTTATTTTAACTACGAAATTATTATTTTAAAACTTATACAAAAGGTTTCAAATACCCTTAAAATAAAACTACTGAAGTTCATTTACAATTTATACATTCCATGAAAATAGATGTTGGCCAATTGTTTCAAGCAAGCAATTTATATAGTGCTTACGATGATAACGCATGTTCTGGTCGATATTTTTTAATTTATTGATAAGAACTGTAAATTATAAAAAACGTGTATTGTTGAATTTGGTGAAGCGATGACGTACATGTGCCCAATACCTACGACAATAATATTACAATAATAATTGATGTTACCTGTGGACTTGAAACAATCGAATATATCATATCAGTAATCACTATAATTAAGATCTCTACGACATTTATTTGAAAAATAAGTTAGTGCGAGTATTGAATGTAATTCTATATAGGTACTACCATGTTAATTTTGAAAGAGTCATGGTGCTCAATGTTACTTACGTATATTTTTTACAAATAATACCATCATGTATTGAAATTTAATTAAAATCGTGCTAAAGGGCATGATCGAAATAAGATTCTGTGAGGTATTTTATTAATTTAAAATACACTGTTTTTTATTGAAACTTTTTGTTAATTATTGTTAACTAATCACTTTGTTATTATGTATTTTATATTTTGAATAATTTTTGATTCTTGTAAAAGTATTTATTGGAATGTAAACTTTTCTTTTATTTATGATGTACATGTCAAAGAGCGCGTAGAGTCTACACTGTAGACGCTTTTTACTACAAGTAGGATGTTTGTATCTATTTTGATCTTTGAGCATCCTACTTCTCGTATAGGGCATCGTGATTTAGGCATTGATAAGCTTTAAGAGTTATTTAGAATAATAGCTCGACATGTTTATACAGATGTACAATTTTTGAAGAAACTTTTGAAGTGCTATAAGTGTTGATGATGTAAAAACATTTATAAAAAAGTTATGAGTAGGGTATTGCAATGATATTAAACGATTTATTTTATACTAAAATCTTGCATTAATCTGACTGATCATTCATTATCTCACCTTATTACATGTTTGCAGATTTATCGATCCTTACGAACTTGGTGAAGACTGGCTTAGACGGTCTTATAATGATATCAAGTAGAATTCCAATGTCCGCCAGACGAACCACTGGCTCGAGTTTGAAATCATACAAGATTCGTGCCATCAGCGACTTCAATTCCATCAAAGCGAACTTTTGACCTGAAACGATGTTGTGATTGTGCATTGTGGTTTTTAACATTCGTCTGTATGTTCAATTATGGGTACAGCTGAATTACCGATACAGTTTCGAGGCCCAGCACTGAAGGGCAAATAAGAAAACGGATGCCTGCCATGACTGCGCTCGGGTGAAAATCGTTCTGGATCGAATTTATCCGGATCTTCCCAAAAGTTTGGATCGCGGTGTGTGTCGTACAAGTGAAAGATAACTTCGGTACCAGCGGGCACTAAAAAGTCCTCTGCAAAAGAGCTCGAAAAGCATAAAAATTTCCGTTGGACGATTGCTACGAGCTTAATGTAAGAAATGTACTTTACTTAGCTGCAGATCTTCGGTCATCGTACGCATCATGGTCGATACCGGCGGATAGAGTCGCAGAGCCTCTTTGACACACCACTCGAGATAGGTCATATCTTGAATGTCTTGCATCTCTATCTTACCGTCGCAACGATCGAAAATTTGCGTGACTTCGGCTCTGGCTTTGTCCTGTAAAAATTGAAACGAAATGAAAATCGTACGTCGCATAATTTTCATTCGATTTCTTTTCGTTCTCTTACTTGGGCTTCTTCGTTTTCAGCTAAGAGCATTATCGTGAAAGTCATAGCCGCCGCGGTCGTATCGTGACCCTGTGAAGTATAGAAAAAAAGAAGCGGAAGAAAATGAGACGAGAGTGCGAGAACGAACGATAAATGGAAAAAATAACGAACGTACTTCGAACGTAAACGTGTCGACTTCCTCCATTATACCATCGTTGTCGATCACGCCTTCTTGCTCGGCCGACAGCAGCAGATCGAGCATAGCTAATCGCTTTCTGCGTCCTGCACAATAGACAATAGACGACATATATATGTGAAACGACGAATGTTTTGAAAAGTGCGCGATTCGCGCGGAATGTCGCGAGCTTTACCTCTGCTCAAATAGACGTCGTTCGTGTCGGATTCTTTTTCGTCGCTCTCGACGCCGTTGATGTATTTGTAATCGGTTCGCTCGTGATACTCGCGGCGTTCCCGCACCACCTGTACACAAGAATCGACAGCAACGCAATGAAAGCTCGCCGTTTCAAAACAAAACGATCGATGTTTGCAGTTATGCCGCGCGATTGCTTATCGACGAGTTCTTCGATGCAACTCATTTTTTTTCTAATTTATTGGCCTTTACCTTTTGCGTGAAATCGAGGAGGATTTGCAAAGCTCGTTTCTGCACACTACCCAGCTTCATGAACGTGTTCATCATCCAGTCGGTGATGTAAGGTCGCGCAATCCTTTCGTGGACAAAATAATGCAAATATGAAATGAAATGCGTAACAAATATTATACGGTCGATAAGCTAGTTGACCAACAAAGCTGAACTTTATCACACCTGTAAACTACGATACTTCCGTTCTGATGTAATGCTTGAACGTATTTTTCCGATGTCTCTTTATCTAGTTTTTCCAAATTGATCCCCATTGCAGATTCTAAAATATTATGAATTGCTTTATTATTCTACGCTTGATCGATCAATAATTTAACTTTAAAAATTCAACAATTAGTATCACCTAATATAATACTCAGAGTATATTTCGAGCATAACGTCACGAGATTTTGAACCGATTCTTTGCCCTCCAACTTGAGGGCCTCGATGAATTTGATACCGTTCTCATTCGTAATGTCCATGTACTTTTTCAATATGTTGAAATGAAAGGCCGGTGTTAAAATTTTTCTTCGCTGTCGCCATTTTTCACCTTATAAAATATCAACAACGATTTTAATCTTGCAGACAACAATTGAAGTATTTATTAATAAAGATAAAGAAAGATGCACATTACCAGTACTGGTGAGAAGACCTGATTTGAGCCAAGGATGCAAGTACGAATAGCTGTCGCCTTTTGTGATATGCTTTTGACTTGTTAAGAGGACCTACGCAACGAAGCGATGACGTATGACAATTTTGTTTTTTGTTTTACACGAATCGACAACGAGACAATGAGCGATTTAATGAAAATTTACCTCCAAATCGTCGGGATGTCGTAAACTAACGTATACGTGAAACGGGCCGAAAAGTATTTTTGCGATTGGATAGTACTCTTTGGTCAATCTCCTGATAACGCTCCACTGCTTCTCTAAATGCAAACATATCAATGTGAGATAATTTTTTGCTCGTCGCGCGTGAATCTGCGCGCACAGCTATATGAGTTCAATGACATTTTTCGTTAAAACTTGACCGATTGCAATTGGTGTATTCACTTTTTATATTTATCGTAATTTATTTATAATTTATTTATATCGCGCCTCTACACGTATGTAGTATATATCTCACCAACTGGAACGTTAAAAATTAACAAATTCCCGAGTATCGGCCAAGACGGTGGACCCCACATAGATCTTAAAACCCAACGGATTCTCGAGGTGATAGTGTACAGGTGGAGGATCAAAAGGACTCCGAGGATCACTAATAACGAGGCTAATAGTATCATGTTGACGCGCTATATTTTTTTTTCTTATGACTACGCAGCGGAGCTCTCGCGACTCGTGCAAGCAAATTGTCCGGCAGAAGCTACGAAGAAGATTGCCAAAACGAGACTGATGAAAATCGAGGAACAATGAGCATTTCTTTTCGATCGCTGAGCAATTCCGAGGGATCGTTCATTGTTTATGTACTGAAAAGCGATAAGCTAATCTGTCGATAATATACAATGAATATGTATGCACTTGAACTTCACGTGCATAGACAAAAATGTTACACATTTTTATACTCGCAATGGAAAAAATATTTCATTTCATTGATTTTATCATTTCTTGAAGATTGAAGCAAAGTATTTAACGTCAAATTTTAAATTAACATGCATTTGAAGTTGCACGTAAGATTAAAAAAATCGACAAATTTTTTGTATGTTTTCTAATTTTTTGCATGAAATATTTTACAAAGATTGCGACATGTGTGCGTACTGTAAAATAGAAAAGTCGTCTATAAATTCTTATAACGTGTGTCGAAGCCTGAGATGCGCATACACAGCTTTTTTTTTAATCCGCGTGATATTCTCGATAGAAAAAGATGCGAAATAACTGCCTCGAACCAGAAACTTCTTAAAAGCCGATCTCGCTCCTCTTGAAGGATGTGCTCTTGCTGCTACTGCTCACGGATTTCCAGTCACCGACTTGTCAAGATAGTAAATGGAGGCTCAATTTTGCCGGAATTAAATTTTATGAGAGAAATGCAGCGATACTTGATTCAGATGAAAATTTTCTATCGTTATTCGATTTTTATTCAATTTTTGTGAATTTTTCATCAATTTTCACTCGACTATTATCATGCGCATGTATTTGTAGATAAATTTTTTCACGAGCTATTCCTACATTCTTTAATCCACAAATAATTAATCTTTTTTTTCATCAAAATAGTAGCTTCAATTCGTTTCAGGTAAGTACTATACGAATGACTCAAATATTCAGTTCCGACGTGACACATTTTTACTCGGGATATAAAGTATTGTAAAGATAATAAAATAGCCAAAAAATTTCTGTAATTAGAGCTAAAATGATTAACTTACAATTGATGAAAATGATCGCAGCTGGGTTTTTGCTTTTTTAATGAAGATAATACTGATATTCGCATTTTTTTGTAATAAAATACCCATCTTACAGCACGTGAATTAGCAATCGGAACACGGAAAGATATAAATTAAGTTTAATATATTTTTGAAAAATCCCACATGTATTTTTTTATTCAATCACATTTTATGCTATCTAGATTATTGACAAAAAAAAGAATTATAAATATTTCAAAAGAATGTCGTAAATCAACTTAAAACTGGCACATTCGTTATTTGAGCTCAATACATCGATAAGTTAGGTTTGTCACGAGCGGTGTTTCAAAGCATCGAAATTATTGAAAAACGTACTTTAATAATTTTCACAAAGAAATGATGTGAAATATTAAAGCGCGTAAAGAATTTTTCTTTCCATAAATACATCAATTTCAAAATGATCCTATTTGAATTAAATCAAAGATTGTCATCAAAATGTAAAAATGGTTGTTTAAAAATAAAAAATGCAGTAATGAATTATGAATGTTCAACTTTGGCGCAAATTATAATATGAATTACAGCAGCGAGTCGAGAGTTTTCCTCTTTATTATCGATTTCCATTTTCCACGAAGCGTTGTGACAATTGAACGCCTGGAACAATGCAATTACACTTTTGCCGCTCGAATATTAGCATGTAACGACACTTTTCCAAAGCACTCAACTAAATTACACCAATTCACAATGTTTAATTCGACTAAATTGAGCTTCATGAAATCTTAATCGGCACTGGCTAGAACACACGGAGTCTTGGTAATTTCGTTAAACTAATCAGCTGCGCATAAGAAAAATCAACTGGTGTGACAATTGATCGCGGAGTCGCATCGCAGATGCGAACTTGGAACTACGCGTAAAAAAAAAAAACGAACTAATCTGTCAGTAACGCGGAAACTGCGACTCATTGCGCGAGCCGGCGAACGATCGCGACAATTCTCTCGGCATCGTTTCTTTTTTTATTCCTGGATCGTCGCGGCGAAAAAGCGCGCCCCGAGGCGTAGAGCGTCGCCGGTCCTCTCGACGTAAATGCGACCAAATTGGAGCCCCTCTGGGATCCCGAATTTTTTTAAAAAGTATGATATATCGTCAGATAAGGATTGGGTGCTGATTGTAAGAGTCGCATGTATCATTGTATACATGTACGTACCTAGATGTGCCGATGAGAGGCATCGATACATGTCCAGATAAAAGCAATAGCGAGCCAGCTATAACCAGTTTCAATTTAAAACTCATAATGCCAGTAGTGCTGCTGCTGCTGCTGCTGCTCGCGGGTTTTTATACATGACTGCATAAATGCGTACTATATAATACCGCGAGTTGCATTCGGCAATGCGCAGAAGATCGGCCGATACCGATTTATGGCGCGTGATACGCGCGTCCCGCGCCAGTTCCGCTGCGATCGGAATTGCTCGGCGCCTCTCGTATATACATACGAGAGCCGATCGATATTGGGGCGCATTTGTTGATGTTATTGTTGACCGAGGCTCGCCACACTGACATCGTTCGGTAGATATTTACATGTAAGGTTGCACGTATCCTGTCATATAGACGCGAATGCGCGTGGCCGGCAATAATAGCCTCTGTCTTCCATCGGTGTCATTCTCGTTTTACTTTTTTTCCACCACTAGCGCGCGCGCAACGACCGATTAGCACGAAATTTCGACGCTTTGATAAAGAACAGTCGTAAAGATTGTACATTAAGATCTATGATTAAATTTTTACCTGTTCGCACCATCGCCGTTAATGTCAATTATAATACCCTGCGAACTGGTTAAATCCAGTTTCAGCACACGATGATATTACTATCAATAGGTATTTTTCTCATAAACAAAATATTAATTTTGACTAATAAGCCTCGAATGAGCACTATCAGCCGCGCACGAATTACTTAATGAATCGGGCAATAAAAATGTACGTATCCACGACGGCAATTTCCTCTGCGTGCAGATGCAAGTACTTCGATCTCCTAATTGATCTTTCGAGTCTCGACCTTCGTCTTCAATAATCTATTGGTGGCGAAAAACTCGCATAATTGAATCGATGAGGGTGAAGGAGGAAAAAAAGCCATTCATTCGTCGCGAATCATCGATACGACTGTTGAATTCAGAAAAATCCGGTTAAATGTTTTGATTTTGAATCTAAGTAAACATTTGCTGCGAGATTTAATTAATTGTATAAAAACAATCGACAAATATTTATTTTATATCTCATTAGTAAATCTTCTAATTATCAACACGTTTTTTTTTCAAGAAACAACGTTTGCTCAAGCAATATTTCCGCTACTTGAATCTTGTCAGATTATAGTTTACATTGATAGTTCCTAAAGTAAACATAAATTGAAAATTTCAAAAATTAACTCTTTCATAATTGAACATTTCTTACCTCTATGATTTCATGGATATAAAGCAATAAATTCTACCAACATTTTTTGATCAAATGAAAGTAACTTTCGGGAAGATAGAAACTGCAACTATTTATTATTAAAAATAGTGTATACTTCGGAAATAAAGTATGCAATGAGCATGATAATTTGAAAATAAATACAAAAACACCCCGCATAAAAATATGAACGATTTCCATAACAAATTTTGCGGTTTTATCGTCGGAGATCTCGTATCTTCTCTATGCAGCAATTCCGTCAACATCTCGCCGTCTTCTCTCGGGCTTTTCACAAAAATCTAGTTTGATCCTGATCGACGAATGCTGTAACGCAACTTTATGCACGTATAGCGTAAACATGTGCGTTTTCAGTTTATACGGTTTGCGCGCGGAATACGCGTCGGCGCGCGCACATACGTCATTGTACTTAATCATTAGCGGTGCGCGGATTTTTTTTCTCTCTCTCTCTTCTCTTTTCATGCACCGAATGACTCGATATAACATTTCTAGAAATGAATTGTCCGAGCTGTTTTTGATTTCTTTCGCAATCGCGAAACTTATCCCGCGCGCGCGACAGTGACGCGCTAAAAGTCCTTCCGCTCAATCTTATTACCAATTAGATGCGCTTGGAAAGTCTTTTAGTGGTCTTTTTTTTTCTCTCGCCGCGCGACGCGTTCCAATTGACGATCGCAAATTTATTGTCTGTGTGGCACGACCCTCTCTCGATGACACTTTTATTAACAATGGCCTCTTTAAAATTTTACTTTGTTTCTATTGTATTCGCGAAAAACTATTCAAACGGACGCGTCGCTAACGTTTCGAGCTGGGAAAAAAAAGAGTAACTGGTGGTCGCTCGGGTCCCCGCGTCCGAAATTCGAAAATTAATCGAATCCAAGTGTGTACTCGAGTACGCACTCGATTAGATTAATGCCGAGAGCAAAGTTTGTACGGAAGTCTTGCTATACACCTGTCATTGTCGCACTAGGAGATAATGGCTTTATAATGGATGATCAGATATGACCGTAACTCCTTATCTCTCCTGTAAAATCTCGTAGCGTACAGCATACGTTGTCGGACCACGGCACTGTGAGTATAAAGAAGAAAATATTTTTCATTTGTTCGGCTCGAATCTGTTTGTGTGTTTTCGTGGCTATTGTTCGGCGCGTGTGACAATAATTCAAGCATTTTCCGTACGGCAATCAGAGGCAAAAAATAAGCTGTATATTACGCCCGAGTGACACTTATGGCAGTTAGCGCGCGATCTCGCGCACACAAGTGCATCGAATACGTGTGTCCGTATATATACGCTCATTCGCGGACAGGCGAATACACACGCACAAACCGATTAAAGACATAACGCACATGTGTACTTACGCGTCGCGAAAGACATCAATTGACCGAAGCTGTGTAGACACGCGTTATCATTGCTATAGGCGCGCGCGCACGCGAGGCAAAAGGGTAAAAAAATGTTTGTTACAGATCGAGATCTTTGTGTGTATATTACTGGCAGCCGCGCGTTATGTTATTGTTACGAACGATTGACATTTTTTTTCTATTCATTATCATTGCGTAATCGCAGCGAGCCTGTTATAATCGATCGCACATTTTCGTGCATAGTGCACCGCGCACGTCGGCTCTAGCAAATCGATGACGATTGCGTTGCTTATTTTTTAATGGTCGCAATGCGCAACGTTCTGTGATTGTTTGAGGAAATTAACAGATCATTTGAAAAATTAATTATTCATTTAAGAACAAAAAAAAAAGATACCTTAATACATAATACATTTTTAATTGTATTTTTGAGGGAATCGGTGCATCTAACGAAAAACGATTAGAACGAGATGGTTTCTTTTTCAAGTGCTCGAGATGAAATTGATGAGTCTGTATATCTCAGTCAGCACAATACATGGATCATTTTCTCTTTAGATGGAGAGATAAGCCCTTTAATCACTTTACCAAACAATGAATTTACTTCGATATTTGAGATTTTTTATAATGAGATTAACTTAATTAACCCAAAACAATATATTATGATTTTCGATTGCACTAATGACTAATTTTTATCACTTTGAGCCTTTTGACCCAAAAAAAGAAAGTCTCTGCATTTGTGGTACATCCTGCATCATAGTTGCAAGTCATCGTTCAATATTGTGTTTGAATAAATATTTTTGTTTGCCAAGTGCGGTAGAACTCGTGGGTCATTATTTAGTGATTTTTTGAATTTAATTCGGAAAACCTTTCATTAGTAAAAAACAGCCCACTCGAGGGACATTTTTGTCTATAACAATTTCGCGCGTGTCAACGATGTTACAAAAATTTTCTTCACGCTACCGTAGACACAGCGCGCAGCACAATAGTTGGCGTGTGTCAAACCCACTGTCGTCATCGCAATCATCGAAATTCTTCTCGTTTTTTTTTTATTGAGATATGTTTACCGTTTATACGTGTATAACAATGGAAGCTCGGGAGGCGCTGCTCGATCGCTATACATACATATCGGAGTCCGGGGGCAGAGATGCCCGCCAGCGGCGAGCGTCTCTATAAAAGCGCGCACGTGTCAAACTTTATTTCATATCGATTTTAGTTCACATGCAGTGATGATCGTCGGGCCCCACTCGTGACATACTCGCTCCCGCGCACTCGCTCTCGTGCTGTCAAAGTCTAGTGATCGTTCGTCGTCGGCTCGGCTCTCGATATAGCAGCTCACGTTTTTTTCTTTCTTTTTCCCCATTGTGTCAGTTTTGGTTTTTCCTTGGACAATTTAGTGCTGCGGACATTTTACACGCTTTTTTGTTGTGCGTATTTGGACGATAGGAGAATCGACGAATCGGCAAGTCTGCCACAAAATCTGGGAAGCTCGAATACATGCGTTACGCCAAGAAAACCAGTAAGATTATTCAGCTGCAATTTCGTACTTTTCTCGGTACGCGATAAAACCAAGGCGAATCAGCACGTAATTCTTCGAGGGATTTTTCGTTCATTCTTTGTCACAAGTAAGTAACAGATGATATTATGAATAATAATTGATATGTCTCGCGGAGTGTATTGGCTTCGCACCGGTCGTATTTCTATATCGGCCGGCCGGTATCAAATGACTATGTAGTTTGCAATGGCAGCTTTCTTTATGATCACTTCGCAGTCGATTAGTTACTCCATTTTTTGTTTTAAAATTTTATTCAAAATTATTATATAATAAGCACTAAAATATTTATTAAATAAATTTATTCTAATGCTATTAATAATTTAAAAATTTCGAGTGCTTTACAATAGAAACGAATTTACGTTTTGATAAATAGTCTGTGTCTGTGATATAATATTTCTCACGTGAAATATTCACTGTTAATTACCTACAAAGAATGACAGGTAGAACTTCATGACAGATTTAAAGAGATAATATTTTAACACTGTATTTTTCATATAATTTCAAATTGAACTATTAAAATAATTAAATATGTTTTTTGACAAAATGCTTTACATCATTCGAAGATCTTTTCGACATTGATTATCTTTTCAAGAATCGTAAAAAACTTTGATTTCAGAAATTAAAGTTTAAAATTTTCAAGTTAATTTTTTATTTTTTTCTCGTTGATTACTTAATATCTTGATAATATTTTAACCCATATGGGATTTTCGTAAATAATTGAGATTAATCAAACGATTTATCATTTTATTTCTCGTATCTTTAAGATCTTATGATAAGGTAATTTTTTTGAGCTAAGATACTTTTATTTGGAATTGACGTTTCGATTGTAACTCTATGAAAGTTGTGAGTTTAATGTCAAATCATTCCAAGTGATATTGAATTGGTCTATTTACAATATCTTTTAGTTTTAATTCATATCAAGGACCAATCTATGAATTATCGTTGTAAAACTTTATAACTCAAAAATGTTTAATATTATAATGATTTAGTTACGATGTTCAATTCAATTATTTCGTCGTTGAATGAGATAAAACAAATTTTTGTTAAAAAATGTCAAAAGTATAAGTATACAGAGTATAAAAATATAAAACCTAAGTATATTGTAATCGGCATTTAAAAATAAAATTAGTTCATTTCATCAAAATCGTAAGATCAAAAAATAGAAATTCATGGAAACGATCTATTCTAGAAAGATTGAATGGTTAAATTGCATTTTGCATGCTGTCAATCGAAAAATCGATAAAAAAATCGCGCAGCAGAACACATGCAGCTGCAGAGATGAATCAAACGTCGTCGATAAAGCAGTAGCAGCTTGCCGATTTCTTTAAACTCGAGCCTGACACATTCGCGTGAAATTTATGAAACCGACTCAAACCAGAAACATTACAATGGCGCATGCATCTAAAATATCGCTTCAATATAAAGTAAATACGAAGATGGTACAGTTTCATTGTCATATTACAACGCGGCGATTGCTCGTTTATGCTTAAATTGAATATCGATGCGTTTTTATTATTGATACATGACTTGCTCAAAATGTTTTCCTCGGACGTTCGTGTAATTGTTCGTTCGAATCGTATTTAACGAAAATCGGTTAGCCATGAATGAAAATGTATGGAAAATTTTTATACCATTTAAAAATTTTTTGTAAATATTATGCATCCAATACTCATGCGTTGAAACTATTGTTTACAGAAATAAATACGAAAAATGCGCTGCCTAGCATTGATCCTGCTTTTCGCTCTGACAGCCAGCGCGTCGGCCGAGCAACGCCATAAAGCATCGTCGACTGAACCTCCCGCGATAGAAGAAAAATTAAGCGTCCAACAGCAATGCCAAGCTGAGCATCCAGCTCTGATGAATCCGTTCACATGGGCCGATTACACGGTCGTCGTCTCGATGCTCGTCATTTCCATTTGCATCGGATTTTTTTACGCTTGCTTCGTGGGCAAGCAGGTGTCGAGCAAAGATTTTTTGCTCGGTGGTTCCGACATGGGCACCATTCCGATGGCTATGTCGCTCGCCGCCAGTTTCATCACGGCTATCGAACTCCTCGGTAATCCCGCTGAAATGTACGCTCATGTGAGTATTCGATATAATATTAATAATGTGCACGTTTCAAATTTAAACTTAAAATAATAATATGACCTATTGCAGGGCACCCAATTTTGGATGACATGTTTGGCTTTCGTTTTGGTTGTGCCTATCGCCTCGCGTCTGTATCTTCCAGTATACATGAATCTGAGGCTTACTTCTAGCTACGAATATTTAAATTTACGCTTCAACAAGCACTGCAGACTGCTTGCAAGCTCGCTTTACATGCTTCAAATGGTTCTCTATACCTCTGTGGCCGTGTATGCACCAGCTCTAGCTCTGAGTCGAGGTACTTACTTTTTTTCATAACTCGAGATTTATTTACTCGAAAATAACTATTTATACTCTAACCTACGTATTTTTTTTACAGTTACGGGCCTCAATGTTTACTTGGCTGTGTCTCTAGTCTACGTGGTCTGCATTTTTTACGCTTCTCAAGTAAGTAATCAAAATATTATAAAGAAGAAGGTGTAAATTCGGTGGCATAATAATTTTTTTATTTACAGGGAGGTATGAAGGCCGTCATAATGACCGATACTTTTCAAGCCGCCGTACTCATTGGATCGCTTCTCCTCATCGTTTTTTGGGGTGCCTCCATGGAAGGTGGTTGGCAAAAAGTTTGGGAAACAACCAAAGAGTCTCATAGATTAGAATTTTTCAATCTCGATCCGAATCCAACTGTCAGACACAGCTATTGGAGCGTCGTTATCGGCGGTACCTTCTATTGGACCACCATGTATTGCAGCAATCAAGCAACAGTACAAAAGTATTTGAGCGTAGAAAAAATTTCACAAGTTAGAAAGTACGTACACATGCTGAATAAAATCGTACCCTCTTTAAAATGAACCCCAATTCATCAGTGTTTTCATTCTTTAGAGCTTTATGGGTGTCTGCTTTTGGACTAATTTTCATATACACCATCAACTTTGCGACGGGTGCAGTCCTACTCAGTGCGTACGAGCATTGCGATCCAAAACGCGCTGGACAAATTGAAGGATTGGATCAGCTTTTGCCATTATACGTTATGAACTATATGGGCAAAGCGATAGGAGTACCTGGATTTTTTGTTGCCGGAATTTTCGCAGCTTCGTTAGGGTTAGTACTTTTACAATATTCATAATAATGCTGTAAAAATTACATTGAAAATTTTCAGTATAGAAAAAATTATTTTTTCACTCGAATTCATGTTCAATTATTTAAATTTCCAGAACTGTTGCAAGTGCCATGAACTCATTAGCAGCAATCACCTGTGAAGACATCTTAGGAGGTCTCTTCAAAATAGATATACCCGCCGAAAAAGGTGCTCTTTACGCAAAATGGATCAGCATATTTTTCGGCCTTCTCAGTTTTGCTCTTGTTTTCGTAGTGGAACGACTTGGTAGCGTATTACAGGTAAATATAATATAATTACTCTAATGCGCTTCCGTTTCATCTTGCACAATATCGTTTGGAGTTGTGTTAACGCGCGACCTTAATTATAATCATAATTCACATACTTCGCTTGCAGTAATTCGTATTTTCTAAAAATAAGCTCGTATATTTATTAAAATTATTATTCTTGTGAGAATTTGAAAATTTTAGCGACATTATGTTACAAAAAAAACGTAAAATTATCGTCTCACTTTATCAATTGTTTTTTTCGTCAACAGGTTGCTTTATCTTTCAATGGTATGGTTGGTGGAATAACTCTAGGCTTATTTTCTTTGGGGATGTTTGTTCCTTGGGCTAATGCTAAGGGCGCAATGACTGGCGCAATTTTGAGTCTTGCACTTGTAATGTGGATCGGCTTGGGTGCTCAAATTGCAACATTTAACGGAAATATTCGTGACGACACTTTGCCGACTTCCATTGACCAGTGCCCCTGTCTCAATGCAACCACGTCTGCAACGGCGCAGCCCGTGGACACAGAGGTAGAGGAGGCATGGTTCATATACAGGGTAAGCTTAATTTTATTTTCTAGTATCAGGCAATTAAGATATGGGTAAAGTAATTTAATATTACATAAAATTGTTCTTTTTTAGATAAGCTACTTATGGTACAGCGCCATCGGATGTTTAGGAACTATGCTGATTGGCGTAATAGTTAGTTACTTCACTGGCTTCCAAGAGCCCGCCGAGCTCGATTACGGATTGCTCAGTCCACCGATCAGTCGATTGTTGCACCCGAAAAAGCCAAAACACCATCCACAGCTGCAGCAACAGCAGCTCCAAGAAAAGCCTGAAAAGCCTGAGAAGAAAATCGATAGTCATCTGCAAGGCATTACGAATTTGGGTCTTGTAATCGACGCTTGAGCACTCACAATTATTATCGATGCCTCGAAACGGGGTTTTTTTAATTTTAATGCCAAAGAGCCGATGAGCGATTCATCGGTATTTTAGAAATAGAAATTGTAAATACCGCGAATGAGCAGCGTGCATCATGCTGTACAGTTTGCAAACTTTTTTTTAAATAGTTTTTAAGATAGCACTAAAAATATTAGATTTCTCACAATAAAATAAATTATATTTTGCAATAATAATCAAAAGTCATTCATTTTAATAAAGAAAAACCTAATATTCCTCATTTCTATTACCATTCAAGTGGATTTCGAAGGCAATGGAAATAAAAATAAAAAGTTTTTAAAAGCCTTTACCGAACTTTTTACAAAATTATAAAAAAATTCAGCAATGCTTTGATTATCTGAATTTTCGAATTTTCATATTTTACATACGAGTTTTACAATAAAATAAAACTGAAATTAGTTGAGGAAAAAAAAAAGTAAAATTTGACCAACTTACACACAATGCCATCACGATGGACTATAAGTATGAGAAAAAGAGAAAGGGAAAAGGCGCGCGCTGCTGCTGTACTATATACACGACTTTCTGCTCGACGCGGAGAAAGCGGATCGATAGAAATGCACGAGCTAGTATCGCACGTACTCTGAGCGCAAGCAGGACACACGCAGTCAGTTTCCTCGACTACTCGTGATAGTGCCTCGAGTTTTTAAATATTTTTACAGTTTTTTAGCGACGATACTTCGAAAAGATAATTCGGTAATTTTTATCGAGATAACGAACTAGCTAGCGAGTGCTGATGTGAAAAAAAAATAATAGAGTAATGCGTCGCTGCAGCAGCAGGTTCATGGCGCATGCACCGGCATGGGGGGAGCAGCACCGGCTTTTGCATACGCCAATGCTCATCAACAGCTTACTACCAATATTACGTTTCCAAACAACTGCTTTTACCGATAATTATAGGTACAGTGCACCGACTGATGCATTTTTTTGTTTATATATTTTCTGTCAGTGTATTTTTTTGAGTCTCAAGATTTATTTATGTTATAAATAGATACTTTAATAATGACTTTAAACGAGTATATATTTAAAATAATCTAATTTGATTGACTCTTCAGATGAAAAAGAAAAAGCGGAAAGATTGTTCTCTCGTTTGTGCTCTTTGGCCATGAAGAAATTTGATTTAACCTGTAGGCGACTTCCTCGCTTGACGGTACTCGTCTCGCTTCTTATTTACTCCGGTTTATTGTTGGTTCATTATCGTCACACCTTACCTCTTAAAATTGACGATACCCATTTGGGAGATGGTCGGGTTATGGAAAAACTACTGTTGGAGCTCGAAGAGAATAAAATCGAGAGAGATCCGTTACAAAATAATGTAAATATTCAAGGAATAAATGTCGAGCAGCCAATTGAAAAGAGAGAACAGCGCTCCAAAGGACTCTTGGAAATGATATTCACGAAAGCCGATACGAACGAAGACAAGTTTCTAGACATAAAGGAGTTGTCCAAGTGGATTCATGGGAAAATAATCGATCACATCGACAAGGCAATGCGAGACAATATCGGACTCTTCACCACTATCGATAACAATCCGAGAGACGGTAAGGAAATATCGGGAAGCAATCCGGAGTAGCTTGTAAATTCTTTTTCAGTAGCTTTTGTGCAAGCGTATCGAGTTATCGTTTCAGGTGAGATAACATGGGACGAGTATCACGCTCATTTTTTACGCCAGATCGGTTTGCCCGCGAGCTACATTTTAGAGCACGATAAGAGACACTCGGCGCTGTCTCGTCCACTTAAAGAGGCCATCATGCGGGATCGAGCTCGATGGACCGAGGCAGCGCGGACCGATCCGGACCGCCTGGCGCTCGACGAATTTCTTGCCTTCACTCATCCCGAAAGCAGTCACAGGGCCCTTCTACAAATGGTCGAGGATCTTTTTGAAAAATTTGGTAATTTTTGTTACTCTTCGTTCTTGAAAATCGATTGTTTAAATCGTTTTACTTGATGAAGTAATTCCATTCTCAATTGCTTTGATAGATCGAGATGGCGATGAGCAATTGACGGAGGATGAATTTTCCGAATTACCTTCGGATGGAAGTGGTCCGGATCAAAGTCTTTCCTTACCCGTAAGTCAAGAGCGTCGAGAAGAATTCCGGTACCTTATAGACAAAAACAGAGATGGAAAAGCTGATCGTGCAGAGCTTCTAGTAAGGTGTTCTTTTATCGAAGTTATGAAAATAAAAATTCCTTGATTTATTTCAAATGTTTGTTGTCCAGGCCTATATCGACCCAAGAAATCCACGTCACGCGATTCAAGAAGCACGTCACTTGATCGACTTGTCAGATTCAGATCATGACGGAAAATTAAAATTAGCTGACATGCTAAATAAAAAAGAGTTATTTCTAGCGAGTAAAATGGTCGATACCGAAGGAAGTTTTCACGACGAATTCAGATGAGTTGTTCCTTTTGGAAGAGTAGTACGAAGAGCAATATTTTGATCTGAACGTTTTGTACCTGGTTCATCCATAGCTTTACTGCACATTTAATACAATTTTTAACTATTGAAAGATAATTATTCAACTTTTATGCTGTGCAGATTATTTTAAAGATAAAAAATAGCTTAAATATTAGCATCAAAGCATAATCAATGCATAACAAAGTGAATTGATAATACTACAATTTACAACTATACTTGTATATTTTAATAAAAAAATTAAATGTAAAAAGTAAGTTTACGTAAAAATTTTTTCATAGATTATAAAATGATTTTTATATGTATTACAAAATATTTGCTTAAAATATTCGGAAAAAACTACGTTAAATTGATCACCATCATTCTCAAAAAATGAATTAAAATTAAAAGAATAAAACGATGATACATTTTTAATAGCAATAATATTTAACAAGAAATGAATATTATGATTTTGAAAGTCGTAATAAAGAATATTAGTAAATCATTTTATATTTGTTCCAAGTAAAATAATTGTATTGAAAAAAGGTAGTTGTATGAACTGGTGAGCGTAGTTTTGACAAATAATTTATTTTATTCACAATAACCAGTAACATAATTCATGATATTTTCGGAAATTATAAAGAAGTTCATTAGACTGTAAAGTAAAAAAGGTTTTCTTACTAGGGCATTTATAACACTTTGAAATATATATTAAAAAAAATTTAACATCAATGCGTATGTTAACATTTCCAAATTATCGCTTTGAAAATTTTTTACAAATTTGCTGAGTAGACGAATAATTGACATCAGTCAAAAAGAGCAGAATTTAATCAACTAGGTCAACATTATAGATTTTAGTCATTAGTATTACCAAATCCTATTACTCGTTGCTGTCGTTGAGTATTTTTTATTTTTACGTTATACATTTTTAGTATCTATATTTATCACAAAAATTACGTTACACGTAGAACATTAAAAAATAGACACATCTTGCAAAATATTAAAAAAACGTACCCTCAAGTATTCAACTGTCTTTTGACTTTTTTCGTGCTGACACGATAAAATTATCGACATCACAGCTCAAATATCATCAGATGATTTACTTTATAAATAAATTTAATTTTTAAACTTTCAATGAGCAATTAAAAGTGTCACATCGATGTTAAAAAATTATCCAAATAGGCACGTTTCATAAAATTCAGCCGATAAATTTATCGCCACCCAGGACCATGTTGTGCGTGAATTCTTTTATTTCAAGTTATATTTATATAGCCCTTATAAAATTTGATTCTGCCATTTTTAGTTTAGAGTATAATTATGTATTTAATAGAAACCAATAACTAAATATCTAATTTCTGTAAACCATCTGACTATCTTTTTTTGACTCATTAAAATTGCGATTATTTTTATTAGCTGACATTTTTTAACAACATATAACCCGTACAACATTTTTGTAATAATTTTAATAAATACACTAGCCTTGCAGCTGACGTTTTCAACATTAATTTTGTAAACTTTTACGCAATTTTTAACTTTAGTATATCAGCTACTTTTTACTGAAATTACTTTACAGACGAGTAATATTCTTTTTGAGAATACCAACCAGTGGCAAACATCAGATGTTATGTTAATTATACTTTAAGTCTTTTATTCTTATCAATTATTTTTATTTGAAATTGCGTAATGAGTTTTTAATTTTACTATTATACTCAATTCGTTAACATATTTTTATGAATTCGATATTTCATTTCAATTTGTTTTTCATTATGCAAGTACTTTTGCAGAATACGTCAATATAATTTTTTTGGCCTATAGACTTAATAATTACCTCATTAAGGAATAAAATTATAAATATGACAGAGAAAAATACTTTAACCACTTGTTTTAGGACGTTTCATTTAGAATAGTTTTACTTCAAAAAAACATCAATGCCCTGCATAAATAATTTTTATGAGTTATCTACAATTAATTACGTTCATAATATAGACAAAGAGACACAGCTGCGAGTCACATCAACTGATTATAATTTTAAGATGCGTAGGCCATTTTTACGCAAGCTTAGAATGAAGAGCTGGTGCATTTTTTACAATGATTTCTTTACGACATGTGATTTTATGAATAATTAAAGCTTGTTTCACAGAAGTAAAAAATTTTACCAAGTAGAAAAACTAGATATCTGAATCAATAGAACATAGTTTTTTGAATAGTCCCACATTTACCCGCAAAATATTGATTCAGTGTTGTGTTATATATGCATGTATATTTATTTTTTATACACCCACTGTATAAACGTTGTCGTGTATACATATAGACCAAACTATTATACTTTTAAGAACTAAGCAATCAGTCGGCTGCAATCGTCTCAAAATCATACGTATCCTTCATAGTTGCTCGAAAAAATTACTTCACAGATGAGCAATATTCTCTCGCATTTTTTTTTCATTTTTTTCCTTTATTTTCTTCTCGTTTTGTCTCGATGGTGAAATGCCCAGCCTCTCCAGTGCTGCCTTTTTCCATTGAAATGAAGAATGAGTTTTTTATTCTCTGAAGATATTCAACCAAGCGAATTTAATTTGGCGTCTTTTTTCAGTCGCCAGGGCCACCATGGTCATAGACTGGTTCTGTAAAGAAAAAATGCATGGGCTAAATAGAAAGTGGAATTTACGCATTTTACTATTCATGAAACTTTCACCAAGTCATTGAAAAGGTTTTTATTGTAAAAAACGGAAGTCAGAATAGAATAACAAACTGGAGAGCACAGATTTATTGCAATAATATCTGCAATCAGAGCTACATCTATTATTTATCTATAAAATGTGCCAAATAACTTTCCGATAGGATTAACCTAAATGTGCAGCTGTAAACAACAAAAAAAGTTCATTGCTACTCAAATCTTAAGTCCCTCAAGAGCCAGTTAATTAACCTTCTTTTTCAGCTTCTTCGAACTTATAGCTATAGTTACGACTTAAATCCAAGTCAGTGTCTATGAATTATTGATGATGCATAGGAAATCATACCTATTTATATCTCATTCTATTGTACAAAATTATTTTTTTAAAAAATAGTAGACGCTTCAAGTTATAAAAGAAGAGTTGAATTTAAAAATAAAAGTTTTTGCTCGAAATCACTATTTTATAAAAAAAATTTATCGGAAAATCTAAAGTACATTTTTACTTACTCAGGCGGCCGATCGGGCGGTGGTATATTTCCCCCACGGCAGCAAAGTCTGATCCAACCAGCACCTGGTCTAATCTCCGTTTCCTCCACTTCAATGACTTTAAATAAAAAAAGTATCATTTATTTCACTGTCAAAATAAAATATCGATACGTGCCTTTAGATAATAAATAAATAATTTGCTTTTTATAATTAAATATTATCCATAAGGAATGCTAATAATTTAAATATACATCGAATTAACTCTTTGGGGAAAAAAATCACTTTGACAATTGTGACTTTTTTTAATTAGTACCAGTTCGAGCTTTCCCGGGCATCGCTAAGTACACGTATGCGTCATTTAATCTTTGAATATGAACCGACGCTTTTCAGCAGCCGAATAAAACAGCTAGCCGAGCAAAATGTCGGATTTTTCTTTTTTACCGTACCACCAATGTTGGTATATGAGTTTCCTCAAACAAAAACGTTTACTTTAGCGTGTATGATATTTGCTTAGTACGATCAATGTACATATTACATGTAACTCTTTAGGGACCCTGACAAATCGGACGGAAGTTTAGTTTAGAAAACTGTGCGTTGTTTTTGACAATATACAATGTAAATTAAAATTATTTTATTTTATGGGGATACGTTTTGTCGAGAAAATTCTTGGAAACGTTGCATAAACCAATTCGTTGAAATAAAATGAAAAAATTTATGTAACCGCCTTTGAAATCAGATTTTATAAAATTAAGCGATGTCATGGACGTCGAGACAAATTTACAAGGAAATTTATCATTACTATCAAAATTTGAAAAACATACGACATAATTTTCACGATAGAATTTCTCTCGCTCATGTAATATATGACATCTCGTTCGCCGGCGCTACTTGAGCTCTCCTGCTCTTCCCCAAAGGTCTGGAAAAGAAGATAAACCAAACTGGGATCCTCAAGAGAATTAATCTCACGTTGCACATCACTGGAGGATAATATTCTGAATTCGGAAGGATGTATGAGAGACGGATTCAAACAAAGAACAGAATATCTGTAATTATCGCTCTATATGCATCGGTACTTATAACCCGAAGATGCGCGTTATTATCGATAAATCCCCTTGCAATAGTTATTAGCTGTGCGAGGGTATCTGTGATCCCCTTTTTCATTTAAATTTTAATTACAAAATATTCAGTTCGTGATATATATTGTAATCAAACAAATTAATACGAGCATAGAATCAGGCTAAAAAAAGCACAGTGATTTTTTAAGGAGTTGGTCGCATTCGATCAATTTTTACCATGTAACTAATATCGAAGATAATGCTATTAAAAAAATGAAGGATCGTCGAATTATGCAATATTTTTTCTTACCCGATGCCATTCGTTGAGGCTGGCAGCCACTTACAGTAGATTGACGCCTCGTGAGGTCGGTACCGCGCACCGACATATACACCGATATCGTTTTGTCCAATGCTGATCTTACCTGTAGTAAAAAAATAATGAACGTTGAATTAATGCTTATGTTGTTTATGAACACTCATAATAAATTCGAGCATATATCGATTAAAAGCTCAAAGCTTCCTCGATGCTAACGCACTAAATGCATAAGCCGCCAAAAACAGGGAAAATTGCAGCATTGAAAATTGACGATAAACCATCTGATACACGGCCAAAGTTAATAGACAATCAAAATTAATCACGAGCAGCGTTGCAGAAAATTTGTTCGTAAAACGTGTACAACATACTTCTGGCCAAACACTTTCAATAAGCGAGATACAGATGCTGTTATATAAACAGTTACTTTTTTTTGTATTATTGATTCATTTTAAAGGTACTTGAAAATGTTGCAGTTATAATAAGCCACAAATGCATATTTATACAAAAGTTAATGATCCGCGGCAAACAATAACATAGGCAGCGTATTTTTCTCTCTCGAGGAAATTTCACGATGATGTTGCACGATATTGACGCACAGAATCGATTACTTGGTGTAATTGAAACACGGATAAAGTGGATTATTAGTTTTACATTACATAACATAAACTGCACATATCTTCAGCTAGTGGGGCATGCCGATGCATAATTCACATTTTCATCAGTACACGGCACTGCAAAGAAAACAAGTACTGCCGCACGCCTAGTGATAATTATCAAGCTACAAATAACTATATTTAAATTTGCAATCTCAACTTTACATGCATCGGCGTTGACCCGTTGGAACAGTGCATCGAAGCCGGCCTATGTAACACTGGCGCGCCAATATTTTGGAAAATACATTCTGACGTTATTGCGTTGTCATCGAGATAGAGAAATTATTTACTGCACTAATAATAACAACAATTGGCGAGGATTAATTGAATTTTCGCTTACGTAAATTCCGCTGGTCTGTGCGAGTATTTACGTTCGATTTACGGAATGGACGTGACATTGATATATGCTCGATAGTGTAACGACTAAAAATGGTTTTTTAATGAAAACAGCTGTATAAAATAGTATCTCGGGGTTCAAGCAGATGAATCGATAAAATTGTTGATCGCTAATTATTTCAATCGCAATTCATGCTTATTCGAAACAAAAAAAGGTAAAGGAAAAACCTAAATAGGCACGAAAATGGCAATAACGTCCGTGAGCGGATACAAATCAAAGTACTCGGTAATAGCGATCGATTCCTCGGCGTATTTATTTTATCAGCCAAGCAAGCGTCGCTAGAAAACATCCATGTGTAAGCTCGCCGATAATAACGTTCATCATGTTTCGTCGTGGGAAAGCAGCAGCGAGTCGCGTCGAGCACTTAATGAGATTCATGATTCGCCCGAGATGCAGTTTGTTTGCGCCGCGGCCGTATAGCGCAGATTGCTCATGCATACGCAACCTGCAGATTGAACGCCATATGACTACATCGAATGATAGGATGTGTGCGTGTGTGCCGTGCGCGTCGGTGTGTATGCGAGTATGCATATAAGCGCCGGTGTACTCTCCTATTTTCCCTTGACAGCCGAAGCATATCGCACGCCGCTCGACGATTCGCGCGTTTCGTACCTGCGAGCTTTTCCGTTACGTTGTGCTCGCGTTCGCCCAAGAAGTCAGTGAAAAATATCCTCTCGGCTGGACTCGGGGGTAGTTACTATTTAATGGAAAAGTATTCTCGATGCTCGACTACCGATACTCGCTAAAAATTACTTCCGGTATCGAAGTATGTGGAACTATTTTTCAATCCATAACATCGCCAGTCACGATCGATAAGCCGAGCTTTAAATTTAATATTTTAAAACGTCGCGTAACAATCAATCGTAGCGCATCCACCATGTGATTTATTAATTCAGCAAAGTTTCGAATGTGTTGTATTTATAGATTTGAAATTATCGATTTTGTTCTCCGAGTGCACCAGCGATTGCCTTAGGATTGCTAAAAACACTGTGGTAATACGATGAAAAGCACCGATGATTCAACGCGAATTGATCGAAATTGAATTTCTGCACTGATGCAGAAATAAAAAGTGAAACGTCATGAATTTAATCGTCACTCGCTTCAAAAAATACGCTCCATGAAATTGCTTAGTTCTCAATCACGTTTGAATTTATAGCTGCGAATGTTCAAGTTAAATCGTTAACGTTTGAAGATATCTTTTCTTAGCTGTAATTATTTCGATCAAGTCTTTGGAAAAACATCTCATTCAATCGTTATAAATAACTGTCATAGCTAAAAGTTACATCTTTCATTCGATATCAAAAGGTTTTTGTCAAATGAACAACCTATTTATTATATTCAGGGATAGTAATGATATTCCGGAGAGAGTATGAATTAGAGTTGAGGCGCAAATCGTGGCCTGAAATTTGTATGTCGGTGCTCAATGTATATAATTGAAAACGTTCCTGATGGACGAGAAACCGCAAGATAAGATAGGATAAGGGAAGTGAGGAAATTCAACATAAGAGCGGTCTACAATTAGATTTCCAAGTCCGTAGCCAAGGCGAGTATAGTGCGAATAACTATTAATTTATAGAGATAATGAAATTGAACTTGATAATCTAAGATGAAAATAAAATTAAAAAAAAATGAAATGAATTATACACAGTAAACTAGTTAGTAGTTATAATTGTTTTTTACCTCTCCATTGAGGAAGCAGTAAAGGGTGGCAATGAAGAGGCCTTGAAACGAATTGAGAAAATGCGTCGTGTAAGACCAAAGTGCAAATTCCCAGATGCTTTTGTCCAGAGGTGCCTCAGTCATGGAGATAATATTGGTTATTCCTAATAGAGGCACTAAAACCGCCGTGGCCCTCACTGCTTTCCTGCCGAACACAATTCAAATGTTCCATACAGTCAATATGCTTAAACTATACTTATATATTTTTGCTCTTTCAAGCGTGATTATTAGCTTTCGGTAGGCGAATATCGAAATTAGATTTCTTCCAAGGGCTCTGCGAAAGATAAAAGAAGATTAAGCGTTAAATCGATTTCTCAGTAAAGAAAAAAACTACGAAGCTTTGGATGGTGCGAAAGTATTTAGTAACTGTGGATCTTTGATTTTACAAATGGCATCCGTGTAAAAGTTTAATCTGTGGAAAAGTTACATTAATAAGTTATTTAGTTGGGTGTTGATTCTTTACTGTTCAAAATCCCCCCGAAAAAAAAAGTTGTAGAGAGAAAAAAAGTTTCGGTAAAGAGACTAAAACGAGAGAAAGTAAAAGAAAAAGGAGGAAAGAACGCGCCGATCAGTAGAATATCGTGTGCCGTTCTAGCTCTGACTCTTTGACTCTATAAGCTTTTTTGATGATTTCATCTATACGATTTGAATAAAGCGCGCAAGTATATAGGCTCCCTTTGGCTCAAGCATACATATCCGATTCGAACCTGAAAGTTTTTGATTGCGAAAGTTCGTTGTAAGGTTCAAAGACGTACTCGCTCGCACATTTTACGCGGCCAAGTTTTTTCTAGGCCCGCATTCTCAAAAGTAGTTTCGCAGCTTTCGATGAAACGATGGTAAATAATTCATGCATATTACCGCGCGAGAGCTCAGGCAAGCCTATATAAATCCCGATGCGAGAAAAAAAAGTAGTAGTAGCAAGATTTCGCCCAGACTTACCGAACTTGTTCAGTTTCGCTAGTGTGGCTTTCGCGTAGCTTCACAATAAGTACCCTTATAATATTAAGGAGGAACAAGAAGTTGAGCTGAAACACAATCATCGGGGCTGGATTACCAGACATTCATAGCTTGGACTTTTTTTTTTATTGCATCTCAAGCCTCGTTACGTAATATGCTCGCGGATTATAAAAAAAAAAGGATTATTGGCTTATCCATTTTATTGGCAAGAGTTTGCAAAGTTACGTGAAATGACATTACCACTATCACCGCCATCCTTGGTCCTTCGAGAATCCAGAAGTAGTGCGTTAGATTATAGCCCCACCAGCATCTACAAGATACGCGAGCGTTAACAGACAGAAAGAGAGAGATTATATACACATGGTAGTTATATATGTATTTTATCACGTGTGCCTTTACATACGTATAGACCCTTTACGTTGGGAATTATACATATTGGCCTGGCAAAAGCTCGACTGCACCCGAGAGCTCGCCCGAGAGTCAAGTGTGTCGATGAAATTGAAGTGGATTAATGGGGGAATTCGATTTATATGTCACCGGGTAACTTCGCGCCGGCAGTCGAGCTTACACGCACGTGAAAGTATGTCTCACAATTATGGAGCTGCAAAATCGATAGTAATATTTATGTACGTATGCGCTTGAGCTCGATCGAGCATTCGATCAGTCCGATTCATTCGATTACATTTTTTTTTGCATCGATCGTCGAATCATCCGAGAGAGAAAATCTTTTTCTTTTTTTTCCCCGTTAGGTCGATACACGGGTATGAACGGCCGCGAGTATATCAAATATCAAAAGGCTCATTCTCGCGTTATACAATGGCCGCTATAGGCGACGACGCATTGCAGCTGGCGTACTGCACGTGTGTATGTACGTACGCGAGTCGCCTTTGATGGAAATTCAACTTAATAAAATTTAGCGGGCGCGCAAAGACCGACCGCAGAGGAAAGCACTACTACTAGATTTCTGGTTTCGGCGAGATAAAAGGTCAGCGTACGTGTGTGTGTGTGTGCGAACCAACAGTTCCGCATACGTATATACGTATGGTTTGAACAAGTAAATGTACACATTGCCGAAAAAGCGACCTCGATTTTCAGCCAGCCTAGGTTAGCGGCTGCCAAGCGAATTGTGACGTGTGTGTGTGTGTGTGTGTATAGCGACCGAACACGTTTGAGAACGACAATGGCTGAGATAGGGATTGACTGAGCGATGCGCTCCTATATAAGCTTCGTTTTCAAAGGACGAGCTTGTCCCGATAACGTTTAGAATTAATCGCCGCTCGTTTATATAAGAATTGTTCCAAGACTTTTATATATACTCACTTCGACGGATTACTGTAGAGCGCCGTAATGATGGCCCAGAGCAAGGTCATAACCAGCGGATAGCCCCAGCCGACCAGTCGATAAATGCGGTAGTGCGAAGTCTCGTGAAAGACCGTCACTGAAAAATGATTAGGCCCCATTATTTCCTTTTAATCGATCCGGATCCAGTAACGCTTACCCGTAATCATATTGTGTAGAAAAAGTCCCTCGATAAACATCCACATGAACATGGCCGTCCTCGCGTATTCTAGAAGAACATACGTAGCCTCACACAGAAAAGGCTGCAACGGTACTCAAAATTATCATCAACGCGGATCATTTAATAATGTAATAATGCAGCTCATTTAATCATCACAGTTTATTGTACAGAAACGCTGAAACGAGTTTTTGAATAAAAAACAAGCCCGAGTTTGGAAAAGGGGGTAAAATTGCTTCATTTAAAATAAAATTAATAGCATCAAGCGGCGTACGCAAAGAATTCCGACGCGTCATGGCGTTGAAATGGTCATTACGGCAATTGAGTACGTAACCGTCGTGAGGCTTGGCGCGCGGCACAAAAAAACGTATTACGCGATGAAAATTCCAGAATGAAAAAGTGTATGCGCGAAGAGTACGTACGAAAAAAAGCAGCTGGCAGAGGCTCCGCTGTGTGTGCATGCGCAGTGTAGCCGCGCGCTCCAGGTCAACATCCATTAAGGTTACACATAATTACTCCCGACGCAACACGTCCGACTGGAAACTGTGTATGTCTACTTGAAGCGTTGCCGAGACGACAACTGCAGCGCGAGGATCCGCGCCGGGATACGCGTATATATAGTGCCTGGTATATTATGGCAGTCAAAGCCCCATCAAAAGTTTTTCTTTTTTTTTCTTCTACTTATCAAGCGCGAGTGTACGCGACGTAATCAACTTGGATATTTTATAGGAAAAAAAAAGGAATAGTTTTTTTCTAGCGTGAAATGCGCGAAGCCGACGAATAACTGATCGTCGGAAAGATAAAAATAGAACATACTGATGAACTAATTGATGAGACGCGTGTTCGGCTTACCGTGTTTTGAATGCCAAGTTGCGGACCTCGGGATCCGGGCGTCTTGAATACCGCTTGATCTATGTACAAAGTCAACCTTATAACGACTTGAATCACCATCGCGACGAAGAGATTCTTGTGAATGCGAGTACGCGTATTCCTTAATGACCTGAAAGCAAATTTTATAACTTTTTACCTCTGCGTTCGGGAGAACAATGCCGACGCGTTATTTGTATAGTCGGCTGAATTTTTAAGCTTTTAGTGTCGCAAAAAAGAGCCATTCTTTCGATCTTATGCTGATGCTGTATAAGAGCTCATTCCAAGTGCTCTCTCCACGTCCGTATAACGAGCACATGTAAATTTTTTTAATGGCCCAATCGAAAAATTAGCATTTGATTCGATTATTTTTTTTTTTAACCTAATTTACAAAGTTACTTTGTCAGGAGTGCATTAAAGGCTATCGAGTACATGAAAGTTTATGCAAATTAAGAAGAGTTTTTTTCATCAATTGCATAAGTTGTTTTGGATCAATTCTAAAGTAAATTGAAAATGATTACCTAAATCGACAAAATATCGATAATGATATAAGTAGTGCCGTTAATGATATGCCAAGCCCGACAAGCTCCAAAGTTCTCGTTTTTTCTGCAATTTCTAGCTTAACCTGCAAAAAGAATTATTAATATTTCATCATTCAATTATCACGAGTTATTTTTTCCTTTGAAGGGGTAATAAATTTACTCAGTCTACGTGATCAATTTCAGGAATAAATTGCGAACATAAATATAGTTTAGCTTGTAACGAATCTTTGAAGGATGGGTCAAATTTAATTGTTCCAAAAAATCAAGAGTCTTGAAATTCGCCCCGGAATTATAATTGATTGGATGTAATAAAAAAAAATTGATGAGTTTAACCACTGGTGGTGGTGGGTTGGTGTTTGCATATTTTCAGAATATAAAAGATTGAAAATTCTCGAAAAAATATAATTGATAAGTTTCAGAGCCAAGTTAATACAACTTTGCCGAACAATATCACGAATAAGTAAAGTAAACAGACAACTAATTTCGATGCACATAATAAACTTGGTCGGAAAGACGATGCAAATATTTTTGATACAAATTACGTACAACAGCAGTGTTCGATAATAATAATAGCAAACAATATAATTCACGGTCTAATCAAGTGTTCAAGTTACTTGTACAACACGGGTGGAAGGGGAGGTGGGGTTGGTATATAGGTAGTAGCAGCGGCTGATTGCATACCTGAGCAAGATCGCTACTGCCGGCGTAAAGTTTCTTCACGAGCAGCAGCATTTCCGGAGTAAAGCACGGCGTGTAGTTGGTCCAACCACTTGGAGCGTCTCGCTCGCTGCCTTCGCGTCCCTCCCAGTGACCATCCTCGCCGCAGCGTTTTAGCACGAACTCTGCGCATATAAGTAAAGCGGGAATATGTATTAGCTTTGAAGCTCTATCCGAGCGAGGCGAAAATTGCGCACGTAACCCTCGTGTGTGTCGACGACGATATGCATGTTATACATAAATACTCGGCGCGAGCGCTGAAGATATTTCAATATAATATGCAGAACGTGAGATGAAGTGTCAATCCGTCTAAAGAACCTCGCCTACATGTGAATGCGTTTTGTACCATGCATTTTGTTCGAGTCACGCTTTCGTGACGTTATATTGCGGCCTTTCTATTCACAACTTCATATTTCATCTTAATTACAAGAATTATTTCTCGCGACAATCATCTGCGAATATTTATGAAAATAAATATTAGTACCTAGGATTATCTATCATTTACATCGGATGTTTTTAGACCTCCTTTAAAATTTTATGATCAAAACCACGTATAATCATTCTATTATAAGCAAAAAGAGATACGTACGATGCAAAAATGCAAATAAATTTTCTACAGCTTATCTATAGCAAGCAAAAAAGTAGCTGTTATAGTTTCATTCGATCGCTTCTTCTCCAACAAGATAAATTTACCACTTTCAATAAAATTCAATCGACAGTTAAAAAATTGATTCATAATTATTTTTCCCATCCTTTCGTATGGGGTAGTCAGACTGATCAAGTCTGCGATGAATATATGTTGTTGCCAAGAGAAAAATATATATTTTACTTTGATTATAATTTTTTTATTCAACTATGAATGTTGTAGCTGTAAAGTAACTCTAGATAAAGAACTCAGACTCAATTAATGTTAGCTGTCTTTCCGGAGAATTTGTAACTCCAATGAAATTTACATATAAAAGGAGTAGTTACTTATTTTCTTTGAAAGAATCAGACCTTTCAATGAAAAGGTCTCTGTAATCTCCTCCCAGAATTAGAGATCAGTGTGCATTTAAATCAGTGTAACAAAAAATTTACTTAATTTCATCATTATTTATAATCAATTTAATAAGTAACTTTTATATAATTAATTTGAGTTCGGAGATACAATCAAAAAAATGGTTTATGAACTGAATAAAATAAATGCTTTTGAAAAATGCGAATCGTGAATTTTTGAGACCTAGGTCAGTGCAACTTAGTTCCAAGTTATACTTTGGTCTTTTAATAGACATATTTCAAAGTATATTTCAAGGAAATGAGCTAATTAATTCATTCTTTTTTGGCCTGTTTTATGATATATAAAAAGATATTCTACAGTTATGAACAATGTACATTGTACGTACATTTAATAAAAAATTTGAATTCCTTACTAAACAAATACACGCCCCATAATATATTTTAGTCGTGGAAAGTAATTAGCGTTACTCCAGCTGATATCGCATGAAATAGTGTAGTTATAACAGTAAAGAGCCAATACGTAAGGCAACATTTATTGTTTTTTCGTTTAAAATAACTTTACGTTCATCGACTGACGTTTGCGTGTGTCTAAGCAAGTACCCCTGTGTATACTGCAGCGGCTTTAATCTGCGCGTCGACATCAGCTCTGTGAGTTGCAAACTTGATCGACGGAGTTAAATTGCTCAACACATTTTCCTTGATTTGCGCAAAACTCTGCCTTTGCCGCCCTGATCATTTCGCGCCACAAGAATATGGATATGTATCTTATATGATGCAGTTATCTCTAAGGTATCGAATAAATGGATTTCGGGCTTGAGGGTTGTTGCGCACTGTGCGCAGTTCTCGTGATCGAGATGCATTTAGCGACCTGTACATCCAAATGAATCTATCATGAGCTATATCTATCATGAAGTATATGGTAATCATAAAGGATTAAATACAGAAAATGTTCGTTGCATTTCATATTTAAAAAGATGCCATTAGCAGAGTGTGCAGCGACCATTAGTTAAGTATAAAAGTATCACAAGCCGCTAATAATGCTCTTTGTATCATATTTTTTACAGACCCTCGCTAATTGCAACAATATAGTGAAAATATAAAATAAAAATTTAACTTTGAGAGAATTAATAGAAGAAAAACGATTTTAGTCCGTTCAGATTTCAGAATCTTTTAATAGATAAAAAATTTAACTCAAAATAAAAGGATTTTTGTTGGAACGTCCTACTTAACGGGAAAGTTAGCACAACTCATTGCATTTGGCAAGCTTTTGCAAGCTTTACCGAGTAAATAGAAAACTTTCCGTTGATAAGTTCAAAGTTGGCTCTAGTCATAACCTTTATTCAAATATATAAAAAACACTTCCATAAGAACAAATTAATAGACGCAATAATAGCTTATTTATAAATAAAAAATACTTGGCATATTTTGTTTTTTATAATGACGATAAGCTTTATAACTTGAGTCCATTCAAAGCGTAGAATAGTTATTCACTCGCATCTGCACCTATGTGTCAAGGAGAAATACTTGACATTTTAAAAAATAGATTGATTTTTGTAAGAAGAATCCATAAGTTTTGTCGAAACTAACTAGTTTGGCACTTGTGTATAAAACTTTTGACGTTCTCGAAGTAATTTCAAATCGATCGAAATATATTCAAACTACTTGCTAATTTCAGCAAAACGTAATTATAATACAGGATTGCAATTGACAAATATTAATAACTTATAACAAATGTGGACAATTGTTACATCAATAGCCAAATAAATAAATATTGTTACTACTTATAGCTTTTCTAAGATCGAAGATCTAAACTTGGAAAAATATTTCTGAAACCGAACGACAAACAATCGATGCAAATGTCCTGACTGCATTATTCGTTCAAACGGGGCACAAATAATGTACTATAGAAAGAGACTAAACGTAGCTAGTTAATGTTTAAAAGGCATCCACACAATGGTATTATCACCTGAAACAGCGGTTTGCGGTGCTCGAGAATGTATTGTAGGAATTATGTGCAATATAGCTGCTCCCGTAAGTAGTCTAGGCGCGTTAAGCGGAAATAAAATTAAGAAGCATTGTTGAAGTGCACAACGGTTTAATCGTGGCTGAAAATTATAAACGCTCGAAAGACTGCAGACTTTGGCCGGGTAGATGTATTTAATTCGTCTAGGTATATACAAAGCTTTCGCGCGCGTATTAGCGAGTGAACAGATTTTGCGAGATGCGAAGGTGAAAAATGTTGAAACTTTTTCGCGCACTTTCCATTTAATATTGACTTTGATCAGTTATCATTGTGCAAACCCGGGATATTCGCGTGCTATTTAAAGAGCGTGTGATCCTTGAGCGAATATTCGCGTAAAAAACAAAGTGTGTTAAATAGACGTCAGCGTGCATCGAGACTGCAATGTACGCAGCGTTGAGTAGTGTCATAATCGAGGTTTGCTACTGCACCAGTCGCATAATGTCTTGCATATGCTCGGAAACTCTCTAAATTATATAAAGTTCCACGAGGACATAAGCGCGAGAAACTTTTCTCATATTCTTGGCTATAGGATATGTTTTGTTTACAGCGTTGAACTTGCTCCAAAGACGGGGAAGAATCCCCCGTGACATTCGGAAATGATACGCATCTACGTATGAACGATAAGCAACGAGTCTTTATTCTCACCTACACCTACATTGTGAAACAATATCATAGAGAGAAACTAGACATAGCCCCGTGAACAACAGTAAGCCGTGGAAATAGTTGTAACCGTCTGGCGTGACTCTCGCCGACATTATCGTGGCTACAATTTTGTGCAGAGATTACCAAGATTTTATCGCATCACAAAATATAAGCTATCATATTACGGAGCTTAACGGAATTCTTGTCGACGGTGCTAATGGGAATTCCTTCTCGAGACAATGCCATGAAAACGATTGTACAATATGACTTTAATGCTGATGTATTACTTGAATTCCGTACAAAGAGTTGGAGTGGATTTATGTTATAGCTGATTCTAGCATTATTTAATATATCAAGGGCTTATATCTGTAGAATGAGTGTGAGCCAAGTGTAAGTCATATGCATGAGCAAGTCTTTTTGTTAAAATAAGACTCTTATGGAGTTACGTACGACTTTGAAATATCTGCAGAATATATTTTTCATTTTAAAATTTTTAAAAACTTACTTCGAGTATCGAAACCGTTTTCCAAGGGACATCTTAACTTGTGGATCGACGACGCTTTCGTTGGAGGCCAGCACAGCATAGAGTCCCATGTAAAATTGCACCAAATTTCTATAAATAAATTTGATTCTTAGAATCCATGTATAAGAAAAAATTGCTGTAGAAAATATCAAAAGAGTAGCAATGATTACTTTTTGGCAGAATCAATTATCCTTTATTACTAGCGCTTGTAAAGAAAATTAAATCTCTATTTTTCGGTGGAGATTGGCATTTATACAAGAGGTAAAATGGGCGAATGAAGGTCTTGAACGTAATAAGCTTTTAGTTCACCTCTTTAAAAATGTTTGAAAATACTCTTGGGTCCTTTCTTCCTTTTTTGTTTTAATGAATGAACCACTTGCGGTTAGCGCATGTTGCACCTCGCCTATATGTCTGAACGCGTTTTCGCACTTCGTAAAACTACTTTCTTCTCTCGAAAAATCGTGTAATTTAGCAAAGTCCAAAAAATCGCGTCTCCCAACATTTCTCAACTCGATCGGATCAAGAAAATATCGCGGTAAAAATTTTTGTCGTCGATTTTTATTTTCGATAAAAGGACCAGCCGAGCAACAAAGCTTCGTTCTGAATATCACACGTAGGCAATGTGTACGATTATCGTTACGTAGTGTACTGGCGTCGTGTGTCGGTACAGAGCTTGAGTCTCTCGCGAAGGAATTTCCACGAGCTGACCTAAATTTCTTTTGGAGTTACTCCCTAGAGGCGATTCTCTTCAGGCCGCACACTGTCTCGTTCCCTCGACTCCGCTACTCTTATCATTCGGGGGCGACTAACGCGTATAGATATATACGTATACACATAGCCCGCTGGGCTACTAAGCGCGAGCTGATACTCGAGTGTGAAGCACTTGACGTCGAGTCTGTGCACGCTCACACGTACTACGCACACGGCTACACGCCTCCATACACCTGCGTGTTCGTCAGTTGGAAAATACAACGAAACCGACTACGTTGGCTTGTTAGCTTTTCGCTTGATGAGAGGTGAATAAACCTATAATTACGCCTGGGAAAAAGGACACGTTTAACGCGAAGCTGCCGAGGCGATCGATCTGTGCGAAGCGGCTGGAAACTTTTTACGAAGAAAAAAATTCTCAACGATAAAATATTTTTCTCCTTCTTTTTTACCCTCGACGCGCTACTCGTTATTAGACAGAGTGAATAATTAAAAGTCGAGTTCGTTCGGGTTGACGCGGGCAATTTATTAGAAAATTATGATTGGTGCCGGGAACTTTTAACAGCCAATTGCTGCAAACATGTGTTGAAAGAGCGAATGTGTAATTGAAGCACGCGTAGCTACGAAAAAAAACTCGACTGCCCAAGAAAGAGAGAAAGAAAAGAGCAAAGACAATTTTTGAAAAAGATGTTGCAGCGGTTCGCGCGGACTTGTAGTGAACAAGAACAAGAAGCGGATGAAGTAAAGTGGGTTAGAGAGAGAGAGAGAGAGAACCGACGTCGGCCGTAGCTGAGGGCTCGCAAGCTCGACGTCCACCAAAGCTACAGACCTTTTGCTGATTTACATTCTCATTTGCATTTAAAGGGCCTTACCACTCGCACTCATGATTAAGACATTTAACCACGGCGCGCATTTTCGTTCTAATAAGACAAGCATCGCTCCGTCCTTACGGCTGACTTTGTGCGCGCATTCGCAAAAATATAATTGCCTCGTGGCACGGTTATGGTGTAGCAGCCAACGAAACAGCCACTCGCACACTTTGTATTTTCTAATTCGTTTTTCGACAAACATTAGTTTCAAGCTTCGCCGATGCTACACAGTTCGAACAACATCGTTTAAAAACAAAAGACGGTAACTGTGCAGCGTCAAGTGCTTTTTTGGCCAAGCGAGCCGGAAAATCGAGCAATCGTTTTTGTTGCTGTACTCACCGTCTTTGGGCATGGTGAAATTCCTTTGCAGGAGCTCGCAGTGCGACTGCGTATTGTTGCCGAGTGCACTTGCATAGTCCATGTTTCGGCGGTCCCCCGGGGCCTAAATTGATACCTCGAACGCAGGAGCCGGCTGCAGCGGTAGTGGCATCGTTGTACGCGATACACCTTGTGCGCTCCGTGTCCGTCTGCGTCGACGAATTGATTGACCGAGCTCGCTCTCGGCTGTCGATGCTACATTTTCAGTTTTTTCTCTTTGTTATAGCAGCCGATCGAGAGCCCGATTCGCGTTCGCTTCTTGTTTTTTTCATCAAAGCTTAGGATTCAATCGATAGTAATGTTGACAGAGTCCACTTAATGCCCTCGTTATTCTCAAATAAAGAGAAAATAATTTAATGCAAAATGTTTCGAGCGTCATGCTGGCTAAAACTTTTGCGATCGTTCTCGATCCTTGCCTGGATAAATGAAAACACCACCGCTTCGCGTGGGCGTGTTTTTTAAACTAGCGTTTAAACGTGCCTAAATTTCAATGTCTTTTCTTAACGCCAAACGTAAACAATGCAATTATTACTTTCATTCACTTTACTTCGGGTAACGAACCATTTTTTTCAACTGATGAAGTAAACCCTGTATGCTCATTTTTCGTGCTCACAAAGATTTTTGACAAATTTTAATTAAAATATTTTTTCTTTTTCCGATTCATGAAGAATCTTTTGATAATGAATTTTTTCAGATTAGCTTTAAAAACAGTTTCTTTATAATGTCTTTTCCAATTATAAACCTCAGTTGATATTTCTTTTCAGTTCTTTTCAGAAAACTTTGAAATATACATAAAAAATGGAGTGCGATTTGAAAAAGATTGATTGAAACGCGTTTAGCTAGCTCGAAATATACGTCGAAAAACTCCTTCCGTTTTTTTCTCAGTTTTCTTTGAACTATCAGCTTCTCTTTCGCCTAAGTGCCAGCGCAATTGTCACGTTGTTGTTTGATGTCACTTGAGAATATGAGCTCAAGTTTATGCAGTCCACACACAACACTCGCGAGGCTTCTCCGTCCTGTCATATTATGCACATCAGCTTCGTTGTCTGGACTGATGAGTCTCCTGAAAAATAAAAAAATTCATAAAATAAGTACAAGGTTTTTTTCTCAATATTAATCTTCATTGCTTTCGTAAAATTATTACTCTCTTTTCAATAATATTCAAATTAAACATACAATATAGAATTTAGGTCTTGCAAATCACCACAGTAGAAATTTCATAATATTGTTTTCTACCACCAATGCAAAGAGTTGAAAGAAATCGGATGCTACTAAACAAAGTGAAAGCTAATTTCGATCAAAGATAAATACTAAACAGCAAAGTACGAGCAAGATAAAAAATCGATTGTTTCCATCAGTGTCAACCGATTCGCGTTATATCAGAGGGATAGTCAAACATCCGAGGTTGTAGGACGTGGAGTATGTGTTTAAAATATTCGCATTCGAGTCACGTAAAGCGGCTTGCGCGGGGGCCGTGCGAGCTTTCATGCAGACTGCAATATACTCGAAATACATGTGACAAGCGAAATTTCGAGAGACCGATTTATATGTATATTATGGATTTTCGAGAGCTTTGCCGACCAAGAGAGAGAGAGGCCCGATTAAGAATCGAATTAGCCCTTTAATGCCGAAAAACCTTGAGGAGAGATTCTAATACGCTGGAAAGGACACTAAATGATCACCGAATGCCCGACGAAAAGACTCGGCGGCGAATAAAAGTAATCGAAAATTGACAAAGCGCGACCGAGAGATATATACGTCTTGAAGGATTTGAGATTAGATAGAGGATTGTAATGACTATTTTCCAATAAAGTTACTCTATAGGTTTTGTTTGAGAAAAGTACATATCAGTAATTTTATTGGACGGACGGATTTCTCGTATGATTTCATTCGTGCAATATTTCACGACAATATATGACTCGAGCTTTTTTTGTCGTAAATTACACAATGAGTTCATGCGCGTGGAGAATAATTAACGAAGCAGCGACGAGATGTCTGAAGTTGGATAAGATTCGTACTTCAGTGTTCATTTCTCTTACACCGGCTTATGATATATTCTTACACTTTCAGAATAAAAATGTATTTCTTCTCGTTCGAATAAATTTTTTAATAACTACACTTGGGTAAAAAATTTAAACTATTGTTTGAAAAATTGCTTATGATAATACGATTGGCGACCATTTTTAGATTTTCTTTTTTAATCCTCTTGGTCTAAAGTCTTACGCGCATTGACACAAATTGATATTGATTTTAATACACAAACAGAGATTGTTGGAAAATAATTGAAAATCTCATGGTACTTAGCCATATGACGACATTATACGGAGTTAAATTTAGTCTCGCACGCGGTACATGCACGTGGTTTGCTCACGTTTTGTGAAACGTGACGAGGTGGGAGAGGAGGAGGAGAAGGAGGACAGAGAGCAGGAGGCACTTTTGGCCCTACGGCAAGCTTTCGTCAGTCTATATTATACATAACATAACTGTTTGAATAATCTTTTGTCAGGTCGTGTCGAACAGCCTCGTCGTCGTCGCTCTGCAGTCATAGCACTGGCTCCGCCCGACGATGCGTGAGTATTATTCAATAGACGATTTTCTTGTAAAATAGAGCGCATTGTTCACCTTTTCTCTCTCTCTCTCTCTCTCTCTCTCTCTCTCTCTCTCTCTCTATCTATATGTAGGTGTGTGCGCGCCTGAATGACACAGTTTTCCACTGTGGAATAATATATACACGCGCGCGGACATATATTGAAAGGAAGAGAGGAACGATGACGAGCGGCGCGTGCATGTTTGTACGAGATTGAAGCTCTATTTCCATCGGGCCAATTGTCGTTCGATTTCCCAGCAGCAGCTCGCGCAATAATGCAGCTGCACGTGTTTTTGTTATTTATTTCGATGGATAATGTAAATACGCGCCAGTTCTCGCTGCCTCCAAAGCTTACATTATTCGAGCGTGAAATTCGCCGATAATTCGCCAAGTTTTTAATGAATCTTTCCATAAATCATATTTTCATCAGCATTAAGGAAAGCCCGAGCTGCAAAATCTACTTTGGGGAATTTTTTTCATGAACTACACAGCGCTTACTCCGATAACGCGTACTCGCCATTTGTTTCGAGCTTTATTAGTTGGGATACGCACTCGGGGATTAATATCCTCTCCACCGGCATAAATGAAACACAAAGCTCGAGCTTGGACAAAGCTAGGAAGGGGTAATAAAAAAAAGCCAGCTGATATTATAATTCATATCAGCATTTTCCATTCATCGCGAGCTTGCGCGGACAGCGCGCGTTGAATAATTTACACGATCCTAGGCGTCGCGGGAGACGTGAGGTGATTCGAATTATAGCGATGTGAAAAATTCACGGCGCGTATATAATAGCCCCTTTTAAAAATCGACATCAGCTCGGTCGAGGAACGCATCGTGCGAACACACAAAGCTGAATCGCCAAGTGTCGACGTACTTTATTTAATATCTTAGACGATTGAAACTCGAATCGTGCTTGCCTGGGTGTAGATCATATACAGGGATTAAATGCCGCGATGCGCGTTCGATAGCCGGGAAAAATCACAAAGCCGACGTGTGCGTCGGCAGCACAATGCGGCGCACAGACGTGAACCGAAGCTGTCATTTCGTCGTTCGTTTTCTCTAATACAGATGTATAAACTATATACACGGGGCCAAATCCGACACGTAGCTCTTTGTACGCTTGGTGGTTTAATCTTTGGCTGGCGTTTGCACATCCACGGCGCAGTAGAGATGCCGCGCAAAGATGACGTAGCGCGCGAGTACGGGACAGGAAGGCTGAAATTAGTATAAAGCTACTACACACACACGCGCGATCGCGCTCAAATTGCAATAAAATTGGGTTAATGTTTAATTTCAATATTTGCCGCGCGCGCGCGCGCGTGATATACGTAGAGAGAATTTCGGAAGCCCGGAGTAATTAATCTCGAATTAAATTGCAACGCAGCACGACGCTCTAACGACTTATTTCGCCGCTTACGCTAGGCGATCCAGCGTATACGAAGGCAGCTGACTCCGGTGCTGCTGCGCCCGCGGCAAGTTTACCTCTTCGATGTTAAAAACAGCTCTCGGGCCGAGAGCTAGAACTCGTGCGCTGTGCGCATAATACGTCTGTGACATGTAGCTAGCTAGACGCGCGCTCGCATAGATACTTTTTATACCCACTCTAACGAGTATATATAAGCGTTATATGCATGCGTGCTACGTGTAGAGACGATTCTCAGCGGGGAAAAAAGCTTATATATATATATATACACGGCTAGGGTATACGTATAGCGTTGAGCAAATGTGCCCGCGCATGTGTGCAGCCTTCCATTCTCGGTGGAATTTTCAATTTTCATAGCCAGGGATTTTCGCGTATGAATATGTAAGCTTCTTTCTGTGCGTGAGCTATATCGTGTGTGTCGCGAATACCTATACACGCTCGCGTATGCAGGCACACATATGTTATATAGGCGAGCCTTTGGCAACGCTCCAAAGACAAGTCCTGCCAATTTTTATTAGTAATTTGTACCGCGCGCGCCGCTCTCGCGGTGGCACGAACGAGCTTAAAGCGCCACGACAAAGCGAAATTGAAACAAATTTACGCATCGAGCGCTATACGCATCCTCGTCCTCTCGTATATAATTGACGCGTTAATAATTGCGGAACAAAAGCAGCTATGCGGGGGTGGAAGGGAGCGGGATCCGTCATGCGATACATAATATATACATCGACGGCCAGCCGGCTTATGATACGCCAAGCGAAGCCCGCGAAACTCGCGAGAAACGGTTTGATACGCGCTTTTACGTATTGTCGTACGAGCCACGCGCGTTATATTTATGTCCGCGTATTTATAATGAATTGCTCGGCGCGAGCTGAAAAGGATCGCTTTTGCTATATATAAAACACTGCGTATTATAGAAGCGCGTGCATGACGTTTTTGGCCCGCGCTCGCGTATACATAATACGTTTATGCGCGGCTCGCGCAACTTTTCCAAGTCGACGCGAAACTGTGTCAGAGAGTCGCTATGGCGCGTCAAAAATATACAACGTCAAACGCGCCGAGAGTGCGGGTTTGTGCATGCTATTTTCTTCTCCCTTTTTTTTTTGTTGACTCGACTCGAAAAAGAAAAAAATGACCAACGGTAGCTGTTCTCGCAGTGGCTCAAAAATTTTCTTCCCTCGAGTTTATATATGCGTTTCCTCGATACGCGCCGCCCCGGCGATCAATATTGTTTAATGCATTGTGGACGTCTTATTTACATCGTATATCTCGTGCATCTCTTTCTCGAGAGCCAGAGTATTTTTCCAACTTATTATTATCCCATTTTACGCTTCGTTGGCCGCGGCGTATATCTTACGGATATAACCCGATACGATAGGTGATAACGTTAAATCTGCAGAAAAGTAGCTTATGTAAAATCTGCTAGTGAACCTTTTCTTTTTTTTGTAAATTTATCGATTACAACGCCTCTCGATTTTTGAGAATATTTTTCACGAAGCTGATTCGAGAGTTCTGCAACGACAAAATTTTCGCGCAAACTTTCACGACTCTCGACACGAGTAGGTTCGTTACGTGCGCGGGGGACACCTGCGACGACAGTGTGGCCATTGTAAAGTTTGTTTCAGCTTATAACTTCGCGAGAAAAACGCAACGATTCAACGCCTCGATTTATCATCACGTATCTGCCGCGGGCAAATTTGCATTATACTCTGCGCGAAGAGCAGAGCAAGCCCGCAATTATATACCAGCACGAGTGTAAGTGAATTATAAAATGCTTCGTTTTAAAAATCGAACGGTATTATATATACCGGGGGAACGAAAATTTTTCCTAATTATCTCGGCTACTCTGTTAGCGAAAAAAAAAGAGAAGAAGAATTCGACCGACACGAAGCCTCAGTGCTTATTACACATTAGCCAGGCTAATTGTAGATTAAAAATTTGCCGTTGATTAGCGGAGTGCTGCTGCGTGCGCTGCAGGGGTGTCTACAGCCCGTCATTTCCAAATGCCAACTGCAAAGAACCTTTTGATTAAGCAAACATTAGAAACTTATT